TATTTCCTTTTTGGATTCACTAGGTTTTGTGGTGATTCTTTTGCCCCTTGTTCTTTGTCCCTGCCCTTTCTGAGAGTACTGTTCTGGTAACCTCTCAGCCCTTCTACACGTGCAAGGGAACCTTTTAGTACTGTTGGAGTCTTGGAGACAACAATGCCTTACTTCTCATAGCCGATTCGCACGGCCAGGTTGTGTGCCACAACCATGCTAGTTTTAGAGTCAGTTAGGGAGGTTGTTTTGGTGCATGTATAAATTCTCTACCTTCGAGTGATACACATGTGTTGAATCTGTACTTAGCTATATATTGCCAAAATTGTTACATTATATGCCATCTTATAATTATATTGTCTCTTATGCATCTAAAATTGCTTTTATTGTTTTCAGGGAACAGCACGATTGATGTTTAATGCATTTGGTTCATCTTTATGGCTCATGCCCTTCTCAGAATATTGCAAAGCTGATAATATATACTGGAAGCATTTCTTTGAGGGAAAGGGAGGTTGCCACCACAGACAGCAATGTGATGAAATGGAATATAAGTCTGAATACTCAGGATGGCCCACAAACCTTGTCAGCATCGAGGTTCCTACAGTTCGAGGTTCTTTGTTGAAATTTCTTCCCAGCTTTAATCTATGATTAAGATTTTGCTTCCACTGAGCAGGTCTACCTTTTCTTTTCTTTCATTTTCTGTTTTCCTCTGGCAGATACGGAAGCATACCCATCCATTATGGATACAACTGAGAACATAACATCCAGCATGGAGTGTGGAAAGCCAACTCTTTTGTCATTTTCTGCTAGGGAGGTTTCAGATGGTACTCTGTTTAAAACCATAAAGGATTGGGACCCTCAGAGCATAGGGCTTATCCATCAGCTTGAGAAGTGAGTTTGCAATTTTGTATGCGCCAGTGCTGCTACTTTGTAAATTGTAATTCTCAGTTTCACATACATATTTATCTTCAAAGTAAACCACCAACTTACATGTTTTTATATGCTTATGGAAGTAAATATGTGTGATTTTGATTAAATTGTATCTAATACCCCCACATTTTGATCTTTGTTGATCTCAGGTACTACCAGGGTGATCCAGTTCTTAATCCCCTCACACCCTGGGAGAGACCCCCAATAAAGAATGTGTTCTGCATATATGGGCTTGATTCAAAGACTGAGGTATGATTGGGATTTTTCTTTGATTGTTAAAGTTTCTACTTTAGCCTGCTTTGAACCACATTACCATTCACCGATTTATGGCCTTTTTTGTTAAGCAGGTAGGCTATTATTTTGCACCGAGTGGAAAACCATATCCAGATAACTGGATAATAACTGATATTATTTATGAATTTGAAGGGTCTCTACTATCAAGGCAGGTATCATGCATCTTGTGTTGGAAAGTCTCGTGTCCAATTCTTTCAAATTATCCATTATCTGTCTTTATGTATGTCTGCTTCTAGTGTAGTTTCCTGGAACAGTATTTTTTTTTGCTTTAATATGAAAAGATATTTGTAGTTCGCAGACTCATTTTTCATGGCTAATTTGATTGAATGAAGATCCTAGTAAGTTGCACTGGTTTCTAATGGTAATTACCACAGATAATAGCTTTTCGTGCATTTGTTTTCTCGAAAAATACTGACCTTTGAACCTTTGGCTTTTGATGAGTTCAATTCTGGTTTGGACAACTGTTTATCTGGCCACATTTTTATGTCTTTTGTTTTAGAATAAAATAGTAACACAATTTATTCTTTCCAGATCAGGTAATTCTGTTACTGGAAAGCCCAACAATTCCAGCGGAGACGGAACGGTATGTTCTACTGTAGTATCTTTATAGGTCAATTCAATGTCTTGAGTTGAACAAACAAGACTTTGTGGCAGGTATCCTACAATTCTCTCTCATGGTGCAAGAACTGGCTTGGGCCAAAAGTGAACATAACTAGGGCTCCGCAGGTATTTTACCATGTGCCTAGTGATATGATCCTCAGCAGAGGAGTTTGAGGCCTGTTTATTAATTTGTTTTGTTGTGGCTAATAGAATTATTGACTGTTTCCTTGTAGCATATCACAATGTTAATGTGCCTTTCCTGCTTTGTACATCCTACTGTTTTTGCAGGCAGAACATGATGGATCTGATTTACAAACAAAGATGAATGTCGACCACCATGTAGGCCAGGGCATACTCCCAAACATGACGAGGACTCCACATGTGAAGTACATAACCTACTTTGAAGATGCTGAGAGCATTCCGGGATGGAGAACAGCCGTCTGGGAGCTTGATAAAGGTGGGTGCAAATCTTTTAGTTGTTTTTTCTCCATTTTTTTCATATTTATGTCGTAATGTTTGTCCTTATGCCAGCTTTATGCATTTCTTTGCTACAAGGGAATAAGAAATCCATGTAGAAGTTTATGCTTAGAATATACATATATTTACAGTGATTCAGGCGGAGTACTTGTGCGTGTGCCCACATACTCCAGATTTAACATGCAACCCCCTCTAAAGTTTAATCATTCCTTTGCTATACAACACTCATTTTGAAAATTATTATTTTAACAGCAAATCACAGGAACATTGTTAGGATGCCAGTACTGATGCGTGAGTTGTGGCTTGAAATGTGGCATGACATGCACCCTGATGCGAAATCAAAATTTGTGACGAAAGGTGTGCTCAGTTTCAACTCCTATTACCAGATATATGAATCCCCCTGCATCTGATTTGACTTTCAAAGCCACTAACAGAGGTGCATGAACAGCTTTCCGAGGTCCATTGAGAAATGACGATTGTCACTGGGACTATGCAAAAGCTCGATGTGGCTTTCCAGAACACTGTGAATACAGGTCTGCAACTCATCTTTCATTCCCTTTTTCTTGCTATTATCCTTTTTCATTAACATTGAATTTTATGGTGACCATATGCCAGGTACACTTTTGGTGATGTCCATCTAGGAATGAGTTGCAAGCTGAAAAATTCGTCGACTAACCTCCTGCAACAATATCTCTGAAGTATGTGCCCTTCAATTTAATGACGTTTGGTGTTTTACGGTATTCTAAGGCTCTAACTTGTACTGCTGTATTGTGGTGCAGAATTCTTTTGGATCATTTTTATGGTTATGATATTATTCAGTTGGACTGAACCAAGGACAAAAAAAGGGTCCAGTCAGAAACAGGTGAGCATGTATTGTTGCTCTTATAGTCATCATGATTATCATCTTGGCTAGTAGTTGATATATTCTGTTTTCTTTTTCTCTTTTTGAAGATAAGCTGATGGATACTGATTGAAGCTATACATTGTTTTTAATCTGATTTATTTTTGGGCTGAAGATGGAGATTACGATATTTTTAGGACTGTATAGTTTGTGTTTCTAACAGATCCATAGTGGATGTCAGTTGTAGAAGTATCTTTCCAATATTGTGAAGGCCCCATGACCATGAACCGCAAAGATGTATATATATTACGAGTAAATGTTAATGTTTGGACAAATAAAGTTCTCTTGATTCACGGTCTGGGGAAAGTCTACCAATGCTGATTAAAAGAAAACTTCTTACCTGATTTCGTTTCCCCTTAAAGATGCATACTGCTCTCCTATACTGATGCATGGCGATTCATTGGTGACATGCCTGCCTGAGTGATCGATAAACTTCACTACGTACTCACGGTTGTTATGGATTTTAAATCAGTGAACTTCAGTGCATGGGGTAAACTATATTTTCTTTTCCTCTTCACGATTTACACCGTTTATTTCGATAAAAATCATTTAACAGTTGCTTTTTTGGAGCGCATGTGTTCCCTCTTCCCTGAGAGGCTGAGATTGTTTTTAAGTAGCCGGAGAAGAGTGGAGTATATCTGTTTGGCTAAGTTGTGTGAATGTAGGAAGCAGGGTTTGTTCATACCAAAATTAACATTAACAAATTTTGATAATTCTAAAATTTGGCAAAATTCGATAATGGGCTTGATCGGTTGTGCTGGCTGCTGCAGCTCTTTGGTTTGGATTGGGGCTGACTGGCTGCAGCTGCTGCAACCAGCACTTCCGATCAGGGCCAATGCTAAATTTTGGTAAGATAGAAGTATATGGATGTTGTTTATAGTTTGTTATCATACCAAATATCCATATATATATATATATATATATATATATATATATATATATATATATATATATATATATATATATATATATATATATATACATACCGTTGTGTGAAGAAGTTTTCAGAAAATCACCGAATTTTGACATGGTAAGATATTGTGGAGTATTTGAGATGTGTTTAGATTGCTTCACAATCCTAAAGTTTGGTGTGGTTGAAAATGGTAGTAAACTGAACCGCCTCTAAGTGAGCAATCTTAGGGCCTCATCTTTTCATTTATTCTTATGCTTATCAACCAAAATTTGATTTTTTTAACCTTAAATTTGAAACTGATTTTGAGGTTTGTTTTTATCGAAATTTATTTTCTAGCCTTTATTTTTAGATCACTAAGAACACGTATATAAAAGTTTTATTCGCAAATTACTTTTCGTTTGCAAATATGTCGTTTCGCTTATTCCGCGAATATGATGGCTCCCTCACTACTCACATAAATTCTGCTTGCAAAGCTTATTTCTAATATACATTTTAGAAGAAAAACAAAACAGAAGTGGGATAAAACGGCTTAAAAAAATTCCGCATGTCTGCAGAAGTCCAGAGAGAGCCAGAGACGAGAGGACGCCATCATGCATTCATGCTGATGCTAGAACAAATTCGAAAGTCGTATAAAAAAAGCACGTTTATTCGGAAGTCGAAGCTGCCTCAAACACTCGAGGACCCAGCTGCCAGCTGAGCCGGACGCAACCGATTCCCAACCAACCACGCGTCCGGTACCCGAGCCACTCCCCTTCTAGAAGATTCCCGTCACTCCGCGACGCGCTTGGAATTTTCAACGAAAGCGGCCTCGCACCTGCCTCCATCCGTCGCCACGTCACCCCCTATCCCCCGATCGGACGGCCACGAAAACCCGCACGCCTCCGTTTCCGTCTCCCTTCTCCCCACCCGGAGGAGCACACGGCTCCAGAAGCTTCCTCCATTAATTCTTTTTGATTACTCATATAATCACCTTGTTATTTCTTTATATTTCTCCCTCGTCTCGCCCGCCTCCGTTCCGCCTTTGGTCCAGATCCACGCGTGTTGCGGACTTGCGGTTGCTTTTGTTCGTCTTCTCCCGGAGATTCGGCGTGTTCGTGCTGCGAAATCCGAACTACTTCTGCTGCTAAGATTTCTGCCGCGTGCTAATGGCGGAGGTAAGGCTCGTCGGTCCCCTACCTGAACTCGTCCTCTTCATTGGCTGCTGCTCCTGTAACAATCGCTAATGGCGGAGAGGGATTTGGGTGTTGATGGTGTGGCAGGAAGGGTACAAGGTTGTTCTTAACGTGTACGACCTCAGCAACGGCCTCGCGCGGCAGCTCTCCACCTCCTTCCTCGGCAAGCCAATCGAGGCCATCTGGTGAGTGAATCAGATCTGGCGGCTTAATCTGGTGGATTTTTGGATTTGGGTTTGGGCTAAATTAAATCGGATTTGATTTGTTGGGTAGGCATACGGGCGTGGTGGTGTACGGGAACGAGTACTTCTTCGGCGGCGGGATCCAGTCGCTGGCGGCGGGGAGGACGCCGTACGGGCGGCCGGTGCGGGTGGTGGAGATGGGCGAGACGCACATCCCGCGGGAGGTGTTCGAGGACTACCTCCGCGACATCTCGCCGCGGTACACGGCGGAGACGTACCGGCTGCTCAGCCACAACTGCAACAACTTCAGCAACGAGGTGGCGCAATTCCTCGTCGGCGCCGGCATCCCCGACTACATCCTCAACCTCCCCGCCGAGGTCATGTCCAGCCCCATGGGCCCCCTCATCATGCCCATGATTCAGAACCTCGAGTCCACGCTCCGGACCAACGCCGCGCCGCAGGCCACGCAGTTCGTCCCCTCGTCCGTGCCGCCGCCGCCGCCGCCGCAGAACAAGCCCGGCGAGGGCTCGTCTTCCTCGAAGCAAGAAGACAAGGCGGCCAAAGCGAAGCAGGGCTCGGCGGCTGACCCGCTCGGCGGCGCGAGGGGGAAGGTGCAGGAGGAGGTGATGCGGGAGTTCGCGGCGATCATGGCGAGCGGGACGCTGCGGGCGAGCGAGGCGGCGGCGCTGGCGATGCGGCGGGTCATGGAGCGGCACGGCAACGCCACCATGCAGCAGAGCTAGACGAGAGAGACACACACACCACCATACATTCGACGCGATGATGCGTGTCGCAATCGCAATTACCGAGTTTTTACGGAGTAGTTAACTTCTTTATGAATGAGAAGGTGATTTCTGTAGCGTATTGATTGTTTGTTACTGTGTGTGAACCTGGACTGTTCTGCTTAAATTCGATAATCTTTCTCTTGTCTACTATCCGATGGATGGATAACGATAACCCATTCTCCATTATTGAATAGACAAAGCATGTTTGTGGTGTCTGGTGATCAGACTGTTAACTGTGATACTACTATTGTCGATTTCATTCATCGAGTCTTTTGTTTGTCGATGTTTAGGGCCTTGTAGCCAACATAATCAATTTTTGCGATGTCAAATTTTTGATAATCTGATAATATTGCTAAGTTTTGATATGATTTCTTATGTATTTATAGTGTGTTTGGGACCTTTTTTAGCATCGGCTGCGGCTGAAGCAGCTCAAAGTGGCTGCAATTTGCACAATTTGCAGCAATTTTGCTCATTTTGGTCACAATTTGCAGCAATTTTGCTCATTTTGGTCAGAAGTGTAAAAAGAAATCATATTCTTACGATCCATCATCCTACAATCCAAGAAAATAAGTGGTTAACACATACAACGAAGGACATAGCTATTTATTTGAATTATTTAAAAGGACGCGACTACACCGAGAGTGCTAGCTAGATAGTGCTAAAAAGAGACACCATTCTTTCCAAAAAAAAAAAGCTACTACACTCAATATCTATATATTTTTTCCTTCTTAGAGAAGTTTCTCTTAAATTACTTATCCGATTTATAATCCGATTACGCCGTTGTGTTCATTGCAATTAAATCTTTACAACAAGATCTCACATGATTATATTTTGATGAAAAATCACAAATTACTTTTATGATATATGTATAAATTACTTTTAGATTTCACTAAGTTACTTCTTAAACTATAAAAGTAAGTTCAGTAAGTCTAAAAGTAATTTATATATACTGTAGAAGTAACTTACAACAAAACGAAGGTAACTTTGGCATGTCATTTGAAGTAAATCCGTTGTAGAGATAAAAACATGACTCTATCTAGAAATTAAATTAATCAGCACAAATTATGGAATTAACTAAAAAGTCATATTTTTATCCCTACAACGAATTTACTTCTAATGTCGTGACAAAGTTACTTCCGTTTTGTTTTAAGTTACTTTTAAAATATATGTAAATTACTTTTGGACTTTTATTGAATTTACTTTTATATGTCTAAGAAGTAATTTAGTCAAATCTAAAAGTAACTTATGTATATAATAAAAGTAATTTACAAATATAAATATTTTTTCATCGTAACATAATCATGTAAGATCTTGTTGTGAAGATTTAATTGTAACGAACACAATGTTGTAATCGGATTATAGATCGAATAAGTAATTTGAGAGGAAACTTTATTTGAATAGGAAAAAGATACCCACGTGAACTTTATTTGAAAGGAAAAAGACACCTATGTGGATGGATATCATGACGACGTGCACAGTTAGATGGCTCTGAGATGCGTCGCGCTATAGAGCTAAACCGAGAGCGCTCTCGAAATAGATTTCGCGTATTTAAAAGCATGCATGCCATAATAACCTCATCACTCTCTGGTCATAATTTGAATTATTTTAAAGCATGCATGCCATAAGAACCTCATCACTCTCTGGTCATAAGGGAGGAACAACCAAAGATGATATATATGCATATAGTTAGCCTCATTGGTGGTTATATAACATGAGCTTCAGGGTAAGGAAATCATCTCAACTCCACACCAATTACGCTCAATAGAAACAGTGCTAATGCTAAGAGTAAGACCATTGCGGTGGCTCTGCTCCTCGCCACCCTTGTGGCGGTGGTTGCGGTTGAAGGAGCCACTGTAGGGGAGGATTTCTTTCGACCTTTTTGTGCAAAGGATTGTAAGAAGAAGGAACAAAAGGACCCCATTGACAACAAGCATTGTATAGACATCTGCATCATCTTAAACAAGCAACTTCTTGGGCCTCTGAGGGAGAAAAAAAATCCCACTATGGAAAAATTCAGCGTTGTGTGCAATGAAGGGCGTAGCAAAGAATTTAAGGAGGATCCTGCCACCAACAACAAGCATTGTGTAGACATTTGCATCATTTTAAACAAGCAACTTCTTGGGCCTCTGAGGGAGAAAAAAAATCCCACTATGGAAAAATTCAGCGTTGTGTGCAATGAAGGGCGTAGCAAAGAATTTAAGGAGGATCCTGCCACCAACAAGAAGTGTGTAGACAGCTGCATCGGCTAAGGAAATCAATGGATTCTTAGCGAAAGGTGACGCTTCCGGTGTTCCTGCGCGTGCATGATTTTGTAGAGTTGCACATCTGTTCCGTCATCCATGGTCGAGTGACAATCCCCATTAATGGTTCTCACCCATTGTCATGTTGTTCCTTTTGCGTCTTCAGTTGTTTCACTATTTGGTGTTTATAAATTCTATGTGATTGATCTGATATGTTGTTCTTCCCAATGTTACCGGATGCATTAGTTATCTTTAATTGATTAAATAAATCTAGTTGTTCTTTGGCTTTTAACACTCATTAATCTACGGTTTCATATTCCACATTGTGTACATGTAATGTTAATATATAGATATAGTAAGAACACAGAAAAGAGGGTGGCGATACGCAGAGAGTAGTTGTATTGATCGAGGGATAATTTATAATGATCCTAGGTGTACATATTTATATCCATTGGTAAATACTAGTCCCGATCGGACACGATATAAGTTTCGTAAAGATAACAAAAAAGATACAAGTCCTGATCGGACACTAAACACACTTTTCTAAAATCAAAAGGAAACTAACTAACTCTGTCTAGTTAATAGATAGATTGCCACGCCGCATCTTCTTCGAACTCGACATCTTTTGGATAAGCTTTCTTTAATTGATTATTTTTCTAACTGAATCCGTTGAGAATCCAGCTGTTGGCGACTAGTAATTCTCATCAGCCAATTTCAGGACTCTAAAACTGATACTGACTCTAGGCTGACGACGACTTCGAGGCTTATCAAATTTTAGCGTTAACAAATACCCCATCATATTTTAGGTTGGTTTATTTTAAGACGAATGAAGTATTTTGAAATTTGTATGCTAAATTATAGCTGTCTAAACTTTTAAATTTTATTTAGAATGAAAAAAAATAATTTATTCAAATATTATCAATGTAATGGCATAACTAAATTTATGGATTTGTAGAGATATGAATACCCAGCTAAAAAAAATCTTAAATCCAGAGTTGTGCCAAAAGAGGGATTTATTAGCAACAACCTGATAATCAAAATTTGAACTTTAGTTTCTTCGGTATTGACTTTTAAACTACTTTGCATTACATATATAAATTTTACCCATAAATTATTTATTATTTATATTTCTTTTCACTCGTCATCTCCACACGTTTGCATCAGTTCACACAGCCACACGTTGTGACGCAGCCAAGGCAACCTCAGAGGAACCCAAGTGTCAGAGACATCGTCACTGTGTAAAATCACCACCTCACCCTCTGACCTCTGTCTTTCACAAATCCCCTCACACACAGCAGCGGATCCGGGATGCAATGGCTTAGCGCCACGTCAGCGAGTCCCTATACCGGATTGGTCACTTCCCCTGTTTGGTGTTTGGCACGGGGTAGCGCAAGGACCATGGTAATCCGGACCTAATCAAGTGCTCCAATCCCCGCGCCTCCGACCCTACACCTCCGGCTCCGAACCTGATGGATGGATGTTAGAGAAAGTTTAATAGTACAGCCCACTACTAGCTTCAATTCATTTATAGCCAATCTAATAGCTAATTTATATAATAGTTGCTTACTATGGGCCTGTTCAGCTGCAATGTGCAGCAGCTGCAACACAGTGGTGCTGCTGCAGCTGCTTACACAAAGCACTGTTCCGGCCGACTGCACCACAGCCATATGAGTGCAGTCGAACATGCCCTATACTATTAATATATGGTCCCACCCGTTATACACACATTGCGTCTTGAAGTCCGTGCTGTAGCTGGCTACATGTCTGTAGCCCGCTGCTCTTCTCTCTCAACTTTTATCTCATTAAAATATGTTTACAGCTGGCTATAGACTGCCATTGCACCTGCTCTTATAGCAAGGCTAATAATATAGCCGACTTATTGGCTATAAGGTTTTTTTTAGTCTGCTCTTAGCCCACACATATAATAATTAGCTATTTACAATTAATATATGGTTGGTTTGGTTTGTGGCCTAAATAAGCCTTACCAAATTTTGTCAATGCCAAAATTTGGCAAATTTTGGCATGACTAATTTTGGTAAGGCAAAGTTGTATTTGGATTGAAGCCAAAACAGCCTAAGTTCACTATTGAAATGGCTTATTTTCTTAGACATGCCAAAATTTGGCTTCAAACCAAATAGACACTAAACACTATTGAAATTGCCAAATATTGGTAAGCCTAATTTAGGCCTCAAACTAAACCAGCCCATAGGGCCCACTTGTCTCTCTCACATAATTTCTTGGTTTTTGTGTCCAAACCGGCTGTAAGTTTACAGCCCACTTCTCCTCTCTCTCTCCTCTCTTCTCTCCTCCACCTCAGCATTTAGCTGACTTACAGCCTTCTATTATACTTGCTCTCAGAGCAGCTATAATAGCAAGCTATAAGCCAGCTATAAATACATTTCAAGAAGATAAAAAGGAGAGAGAATAGCAGCGGGCTACAGATCCGTAGCCAGCTATATACATCACGGGCTCTAAGATACATGTGTGTATGATAAGTGAGACCAAGTATTAACTGTGTACTATATGTTATAAGTATTTTCTCTGTCCCACAATACTTATCTTTCTAGGTTGTTTAACACAAATTAAGGTTTGAGAAGTAAAGACTATATTGCCCCTTATTTGAATAGAAGCACGAGAGTGGTGAGGATAGAATGGGTAAAAAATTGAATTGGAGGTGATTGATGTGACAAGTAATACTAACAAGTGACAAGTATTGTGGGACAAAATTTGAACTCCAAAGCGACAACTATTTTGAGGCGGATGGAGTAACTATTTTATAAATTGGCTATTAAATAGACTATTAAGTTAGTATATGAGTTTTTTTTAAAGAGATTTCTTATACAGCTCTTTTTGTATTTCCAAAAGCGATCAAACTTACAAATCAACTCATACACAAATGACGTACCAAAGTGCTGACAAAAATATATTCAATTTTTATAATAATAGAGATAGAGAAGAGATAGAGATAGAGATAGAGATACAGAAATCCATATTATAGTATGATATCACGAATTAGAGTGAAAGTCATGGATTGTTTGAATGCTAGTATTTGAGAGTAGTAGCCGATAGCACGGAGAATCCCACATTAGAATGATCTAGTATACGGCGATGCTTATTCTAGGTTATACTTATTGGTTATACCTTTTAAATTAGTTTTTAAACTTTGGTAGTCTATGAACATATGGTTTTTTAGTCACATATGTTAAAGGATAGAGTCATGCCTTTAAGATACAAACACTTCAAAAGTACCTTCGTCGCAAAAAAAGTTTTTTAATCTAGCTTTAGCTATTAGTTATTAGTGTTAGATTGGCTTTATGGCTTTAAAAGAACTATTTAAAACTAGGAAACTTTGAGTTTGTAGCTAATAAGGCTAAAATAAACTTCCATAAAGTGATAGATTGAATATGGCAATATTTATAGTAGCAAAAGAAAGGCGTGATCATATGTTTCATGGAAAGATATATAATGTTTTCCGGAACCTATAAATACTACTCCTGTATATTATGGACATTTTCCTTCTAATCTTAGCTGGTAACGGGGGTCTCATAGATGATTCGTAGGCAACATTTAACGAGAATAATTAAGGGTGTGAACCGCAGATAACCAAACTTGTTTCAATTAAAAAAAACAACTAAAAGTTGTTAAATACAACATCCATCCTAAAATATAGCAACATATATAGTTCATAGCTAAAAACTGCATATATTTTAAGGCAGAAAACGCAATACTATAATGTAAGCATAACTTTGGCCATATTAAGATATGACTAACATTGAAGTTCATTAATCCATTGTCGAGCCATTAAAGTCATAGTTCTCTCCGTCCAAAAATAATAAATGCATCCATGTAATTCAAATTTGAACTACACGTCTACTACAATTATTTTGGAATGGAGGAAGTACTCCCTCCATCTACTTTTGATAGTCATATTTCATCTTGGCACACAGATCAAGAATAAGTAATTCTACTTATCATCTATTTAAACATGCTACTAATATTTCCTCGTAGACAAGTGATTCATTAGTATTTACATTTCTCGATGCCCATACAGCCAATCTTGTGTGGAAGAATGGAGAGTCACACATTAAATTTGAGAAAGTCATTAAGATGATAGGTTGTTGGATTGAAATATGCCTATTAAAAATAAAATTTTCAGATTTAAAAATACGCCTATCAAAACTAGATGGAGGGAGTAGTATTTAGAAGTTGTTCGGATTGATACCATTTCGAACCATACCAGTAAAGTTGCCAAACATGTGTATCTATTTAGTTTTTTTACCAAACTCTAGTAAATACAAAAGAAATCCTGTCAAAACTTGGTAATATTGCTAAATTGCTAAAATTTTTGTAAGGTTTATTTTAGCTACAATCTAAACAGACCTTTAGATATAAACCAGTGCGAGATATAGGGGTTATTCATATTATAATGGTAAGTTGGCAATATTACCAAAAATTTGATATGATTTCTTATATATTTATCAAAGTTTAGAAAAAAACTAAATGCATATATATTTTTGACAACTTTATAAAAAAATAATATGATTTAAAATGATATCAATCTGAACACCCATGTAAACGGGTGCGAATGATAATTGGCACATTATTGTCCATGAACCATTGCGCAAAAATGCGTGCGGCCGTCTGCCATCCGAACCTTCCCGAACCGGGTTCACCACTGTAAGAACCAAGCCGCACTCAAAACCCACGTACACCCCATGCCTTGCCTCATCTGGCTCCCTCTCTTCCTCTCCCTCCCTCCCTCCCTTCGCTCGCTTTCTCTCTCCTCCCCTTCCCTTTCCTCCCCTTCCATCTCTCTCTCTCTTTCTCTCATCTCCTCCTCGCTTCTTCTCAAGCAAAGCTAGCGGCGAGCTCGGAGTAGCGGCGCGCTCTCTCGTACGCCAACCGCCCGGCTCCTCCTCCTCCTCCCCTTCGGGACCCCGTGCCCGAGCTCGCCGCCGCCGATCGGGCATTGGATCCTTCCACCACCGGTGTTCGTTCGTAGCGGATTTTATTTTTGCGGGGTTTCTCGGCATCCCCTGAGTCGCGGGATCGCGCCCAATCGGTAATGTGGGCTCTGATCCCTTCGTTTCACGCGAATTTGGGGCTCGATTCGTTGCTGATTTCTGCCGCGTTTGGTTCTGGTCGGTTTAATCTGTTTTTGCTTGCAGATGGCGCAGAGCAACTGGGAAGCAGATAAGATGTAAGCTACTACTTGGATGCGTTTTTTGGGTGACTGTTTTTGTTGTTTGGGGTTAATTCCTTCCTTCCCGTGCTGGTTGTGCAGGCTTGATGTGTATATCTATGACTATCTGCTGAAGAGGAACTTGCAGTCGACGGCCAAGGCTTTCATGGCGGAGGGAAAGGTCGCCGCTGATCCAGTCGGTAATCATCTCATATCCGCTGCTTCTCTAGTTGCTGCCCCTTTTGTTTTTTTGCCGGGTTTTTCTCTCGTTTCAATCTCCAAAGTAAGTTTGTGGTTACGGTGATTTGAGGTTTTATGTGGAGTGTCAGAGTTTTGAGATTAACCAGGGCGAATTCTGGGTTTCGAACTGGAAGGGGAGGGCCTTCTAGTGCTAAAATGATGAAGGAAATTTGAATTTTATTTTATTCAGGGAGTAATTTTCAGCCAAATTAGAACAGAGAACTCGGAAAATTGGAAGAGGTTTGCAGATTTTGGGGCAAAATTTAGGTATGGAAGCTGAGGATAGGCAGAGATTCAAGCTAAAATAGGAGGATATTTTGAAATTTGTTGATAGTAACTTGGAGAGGCTCGTTTATTTATTTATTTATTTATCCTGAGATGGCAGACTTGAGGCTACTTGTGTACATGGTATAATTTCCACTGTATGTATTCTGCTAGCTATGTAAATCGACCTATTGTTATCAAGTGGATGAGAGGATGGCGTGATTGTGTTGATCGCTTTTTTCATGCTCTCAAGCATGCTGGGTTTTGAGGAAGGTGGCAATTATTTGTTTTTGCCGTGCATTGTGTAACTATTTCTATTTTTGCAGTGATTTCATTTGTTGAGATTATTTAGTTGAATTGAAGCATAATCAATTCGATATCCTGAATGCAATGTTACATTGACTGATAATGGTAGCATTTGTAGTGGATAAGTACATGGGTGCTATATATGGATTTGCAGTACATGCAAAGGAGAAGGCGGGAAGCTACATTGCTTATTTGGTTGCGGTTGTGTTCATATATCTAGCACAATGTATCTTGACATTTATAGCCACTAATGAACCATTAATGTGGAATTGAACTAAACTTAGTATATTCAGTGCAAAACCGTGCTGTTGCAATTTGTGTGTTGTGGGGCCTGTCTAGATTCGTAGTACTAAGATATGTCTAATCCGGCTTTAGGTTGCTATATTTTGGGACGAAGGGAGTTCCTTTATAGTTCTGCGTATCGCAGTAGGTACTATTAGTGATACCAGCAAACTGGACTGGAACACATTGTCAAACACAGGAATTGAACTAAACTTGGTAAATGGAATGCAAAACTGTGGCATTGCCCTTTTTAACTTTGAAATGAATTTCTTCCTTGCTAAAACCTGTCATATGAGAAACGGCTAATTGGTAACCTTCTGTCTTTGTGGGCATTATCCGAGTGATAACGTGTCATGTCTCATCCTTCCATAATGTTTGACTCTAATTGGTTTTCCCGTCCTAAATGGTTCTTCAGCTCTTCTATGTGGATGACATATTGCGACCGCTAAGATCCCTAACACTTTGAGAAATGATACCATCACTTTTAAGTCCCAAATCAACTTCTTGATTACTGAAACCTGGCAAGTTAGAAAGGGGTAGGTCGACGGTGTATAAGCGAGGCAGCCCTGTGGGCGGAAATTCTAAACGCTGAAGATAGAACTGTAGTTTCCTTGTGGAAAGGAATTTTCTCTTCCCCTCTACGAATTCTAAATCTTATGTAATTCTCTGTGTAAACCTTCTAAATGTTTGCAATGACAAAATTCAGGTGGGGAAGCTCTCCCCCTGGTGATTTAGTCAAAAAAAAGAAAGAAAGGGGTAGGTGAGTTTTTTTGCCTTGCTGGGCAGAGTATATCTCCAAAGATTCCAAATACCCTTCCTTACAGAAGATCTTTAACGTTAATGCAAAAATAACTAGACGTATATCCACTCCAAGAAGTTCTGCATGTGGTTTCCTGGTAGAGACCCTTCCTTTTACCTGTTCAAGAATCATGATTGTAAATTCTTCTCATGCAGCAATTGATGCTCCTGGAGGGTTTCTCTTTGAGTGGTGGTCTGTTTTTTGGGATATATTTATTGCAAGAACAAATGAGAAGCATTCTGAGGTTGCAGCGGCATACCTAGAGGTATCCTGGGAATTTTTTAAGTCGCCATGCATCTATTACTCTTGATCTGATCCACGTGTATTTCTGTCGGAAACATAGGCACAGCAAATCAAAGCGAGAGAGCACCAACAGCAGATGCAGATGCAGCAGTTGCAACTAATACAACACAGACATGCTCAACTGCAGCGAACTAATGCAAGTCATCCTTCACTTAATGGTCCAATAAACACCCTAAATTCTGATGGCATTCTGGGGCATTCAACAGCTAGTGTTTTGGCTGCCAAGATGTATGAAGAGCGCTTGAAGCACCCTCAATCCTTGGACTCTGAGGGATCACAGCTTCTTGATGCTAGTAGGATGGCTCTTCTCAAGTCAGCTGCAACAAATCATGCAGGGTGATTCTCTTTTAGTTTTTGATAAGCTTTTATATAAGAGAGAGATGGGAGAAATTGAATTTTGATATGTTACTGGCATGATCACTAATCATATATCTTAATCTCATAGGCAATTAGTTCCCGGAACTCCCGGAAATGTGTCTACAACGCTGCAACAAATCCAGTCTAGGAATCAACAAACTATGGTGAGTTGTTGCTTCTTGTGCTCATCTTGTGTCATTTTGTTTGCTCCATTAAAATGTAAAAGTAAAAAGATAGATGTTCTTTCCAACAGGATATAAAAAGTGAAGGTAATATGGGTGTTGCCCAAAGATCTTTGCCCATGGACCCATCATCCTTATATGGACAGGGTATTATTCAGCCAAAACCTGGATTGGGCGGTGCAGGTTAGTCCTTTCCTATGTATATTGTGAGGTCACTTTTGTTGCTAAAGTGAAACTGCAATAATGTGGAGTTACTTGCCTTCTCTAACAACAATCGATTTACTAGTCTGTCATTCTTGTAATAACAGTAACATCTAAGGTTGCGAATAGTAAATATAAATTGCCAAAACAAATGGATATTAAACAAGTACTGAATTAATTATTATGCTGTTTCTGGTTGGCTTTTGTGGTGAATATTGCATGGATATATTTCTAGTCTAAAAAGCAAATGTTGTTGTTCTCAATGTAGAAAACCATCCTGTTCTCGTTTTGTTTGTTCTGATTTTTTGGATGTCCTTTTTGTTTGTCAATTGTTGAAATTTCTTCTTCTGCTGTTAACAGGACTAAACCAAGGAGTAAGCGGTCTACCATTGAAAGGGTGGCCATTAACTGTAAGTTCATTTATCTATTGTCCCCTTTCTTCATGTTTTTATTACTATCTAATCACCAATTAATGCCAGTGCTGCCATCCTACAGGGAATTGACCAATTGCGACCAAATTTAGGTGCTCAAATGCAGAAGCCATTTCTTTCAACACAGTCACAGTTTCAACTTATGTCACCACAGCAGCAGCAACAATTCTTAGCACAGGCCCAAGCACAAGGCAATCTTAGCAACTCAAGTAACTATGGGGATTTGGATCCCCGGAGATATACAGCACTAACCAGGGGTGGCTTGAATGGTAAGGATGGACAGCCTGCTGGAACTGATGGGTGTATTAGTTCCCCAATGCAATCCAGTTCACCCAAAGTTAGGTCAGACCAAGAGTATCTCATAAAGGTTGGTTTATTTTTGGAAGCGCACTTCTGTTTGTGTTTTCATTGTCTCTAGTGTTCAACCATCTGACTGTACCTGCAAGTTATTCAGGTACAACAGACATCTTCCCAGCAACCGCAGGAACAGCAGCAGCAGCAGAGCCAGCAACAACAGCAGCAGCAAAGCCAGCAACAGCAAATGCAACAGGTACTGACAATTCGCCCAGGCTTAACCTCTGGATTTGTTTTCTTTTCTTGAAAGTTAGCAGATGTGTGCATATATTGCTGCAAACTTCAAACTTTAAATCTGCTCAACAAAACATCACTTTGTGCCTCTACAATTGCACTTTTGCAAGCAAATTAAGCATAGTAGTTTATTATGAGTGAGTTAGATGTACTGATTGTTCATAGCTGAATAAAAAAAATGATGTTTGAGGCTCCGTTGGGCACTGCATTGGCTTTTCTCAATTGGATCGAAGGAGTTAGTTAGAGGTGTTTAAATTAGAGACGTGAAAGAAAATGTTACTGGGATCAGCAAAGATTCTCCTAACCGACTAGATCCCTAAGCACAGGAATAGCAACCACAAACTAACTATAAAGCCCAAAGACTATTTTCTGTTGGCGATGTCCTGCAGCTTTCTGATTCTTTTCTATAGATCTTGTGAATTATAGTTTAGTTAGATGTATTGTGTGTAATAGGAATCATATTGTTAATCTTGGGGTGATAAGACTAGATTTTGTGTTGATCATTCGCTGCAGCCTTTGTATTGTTTTCTATGATTTTTTTGGTCAATGGGTTTCTTTAAAAACAATTCCAAGGGTAAGATCGCGTAAAGGCAATATTGAGGACAGCAGAATGACTGGGATATAAAATTGGTATGCCAGATTATTGTAGTTACACACATCCAATATTAATTACAGTTTCATGGCTTTTTTTTTTTGTGAACATGCAATAGCTTTGCATGTCAATATATTAGACGAAGATTAATACAACTGTGGTGCGCCTCAATGGCTACTGGGGTGGCAGGGAGAGGAGCTAGGGAAATACACTAACAACAAAGGAGAACTAAACTAAGAGCTGAACTCCAAAGCAGAAGGTAGGCAAGGAAAACAAAACGGGCTAAGCTATGTGCTGAACAAAGCTCCCACAGGGTTAGCGGTCGCTGCCACCCACTGTCATCCTATTTGCTATGGATGACGTCTTTTTTTTTTCTTTTTACCTGTCTACTAAAAGTCGACAGATTTTGCTCCTGTTTTCTCTTTGGCATATACAAGAGACCAATTTGTCATACAACCTACATATCTATTTATCTACTATATTATTAAAACAACCTTGAAATAAGGCACCAAGTCCGTTGTAGGGGCTAGAAATTCCCACATTAATCGGAGAAAAAGAAAAGAAGAGTCCAAATAGAAATACAATTTAAAAATAGCTGAAATTCGGAATTAAAAATAAGTAATATTGAAAGAAGAATCCATATAATAACCCAATAAGAGATTAATCAAAATTCGGAATAAAAATAAAATAAAATGCGAAATTAGAAAAGAAAGAAGAGTCCAAGTAGGAATACAATTTAAAAATAACAGAAATTCGGAATTAAAAATAAGGAATATTGAAAGAAGAGTCCATATAAGAACCCAATACGAGATTAATTAAAATTCTGAATAAAAATAAAATTAATCCTAAATTAGAAAAAAAAAAGAAGAGTTCATGTAGGGATACAATTTGAAAATAACTAAAATTCGAAATTAAAAATAAACAATATTGAAATAAGAGTCCATATAAGAAACCAATACTATATTAATTAAAATTGAAAATAAAAAATCAAATAAAATCCAAAATTGGAAAAAAAAAGAGAGTTCAAGTAGGAATACAATTTTGAAACAATTGAATTTGGAAATAAAAAAATAATAAATATTAAAAGAATAGTCTATATAGAACACAATACGAGATTAATTAAAATTCGAAATAAAAAATAAAATAAATTCAGAAAATAGAAATAGAAAAATAATAGCTCAACTAGAATACAATTTATAAATAATTAAAATTTGTAATAAAAAAATAAAGACTATTGAAATAAGAGATAATCTAGAACACATGACGAGATTAATTAAAGTTTGGAATAACAAATAATTTATGAATAAGATAAATTCAGAAAATAGAAATAGAAAAATAATAGCTCAACTAGAATACAATTTATAAATAATTATAAGAGTTCAAGTAGGAATATAATTTATGAATAAAAATTATCGGTTGATGGGATATCTAAAAACTATAAACAAAACCCCAAATAGAATCCCAATGACGTTTAAGAGGAGCGACGATGGGCATGCCGTTAAGTAGCGTGGTCACGACAGTTGGCGGGACTTATGGAGAGTAAAAATAAACCCAAAGGATAATCATGTTCGATTTTTAAAATCTCAATGACAATAAGGAGGGGAGGCAGCGGGCAGGCTGTAGTCTGTAGAGGTGTATAGGGGCGAAGCCACTAACGATCTGGCGAGACTTATAGAAAGTAAGAAAGAACATAAACAATAATTATGTTCGACTTTTAAAATCCCAATGATAATAAAGAGAGGTGGCAGCGGACGGGCCATAGAGTAGTAAATTGGCGATGTTTGACAATACTTCTAAAAATTATGAAAACGAGACCTAACAAGACAATGAACTCTAAAAACTATAAGGCCTAAATTTTAAAGTTCTAAAGATGATGAATAGAAGTAGTGGTAGATCGAGTAAGCAAATAAAAAGGTGTCAAAGGAGTAAGAGGTAGCGACTGATGTGACTTTTAAGAACTATGAAATTATTAGAATCACGGGAATGATAGTTTTAAATAAAATCATGTGTAAAAATAGATTATTTTAAATTGATGCTAGTTGCGCAATTGCGCGGGTTGCCCAACTAGTTTTTTGAAAGTAGAACACCATCACATAAATTTGGATGCTTTAATACACGTTTCTATATTTTTAGGAGCTACATGTGAATTTTTCAGGGGATACATATGAAACGGTCACAGGGAAAACTAATTTAAGTTTTGAACCATGGCTAACTGGCTGCGTGTATGTTTTCCAAATTTTCATTTTGCTTATTTTCACATACTTATCCCTTACCATATATCCATTTTTTTGTTCTACAATTATTATTATTTATCTCCAGAGCAATAGAAAAAGAAAGCAACCTACATCTTCAGGAGCAGCAAATAGTACTGGAACAGGGAATACAGTTGGCCCTTCAACCAATTCTCCACCATCTACTCCATCCACGCATACCCCAGGAGATGGACTTGGGATGCCTGGCAATATGCGCCACGTCCCGAAAAATTTAGTGATGTATGGTGCTGACGGAACAGGACTAGCATCCTCTTCAAACCAAATGGTTACAGGCTTACAACTTTTCTCATTTCATTCAAGATGTTTAGTTGGATGTATGTAACGATTATTTGTGTCAGATGATAAGCATCGTATTTTCTGTACTTAACAGGATGATCTCGAGCCATTTGGTGATGTTGGCTCTTTGGAAGATAATGTTGAATCATTCTTAGCCAATGATGATGGAGATGCAAGGGATATTTTTGCTGCACTTAAAAGAAGTCCTGCAGAGCCTAACCCAGCGGCTTCAAAAGGTAATACCCTGATGTTTTCCGTATTCTGTAAACATGAAATAACACACCTTTTGGTTTTTAGGTTTTACCTTCAATGAGGTTAATTGTTTGCGCACGAACAATAGCAAAGTTGTCTGTTGCCATTTTTCTTCAGATGGCAAGATATTGGCTAGCGCTGGACATGAAAAGAAGGTATCAGTAAATGGACTTCATTTTACACTGCTGGTTTTTGTGGGTTTAGTATGGTAACTTGTTTGTTGTCTCTTAGGCTGTACTTTGGAACATGGACACCTTCCAGAGCCAGTATACATCAGAAGAACACAGCCTCATAATTACTGATGTCCGTTTCCGGCCTAATTCTTCCCAGCTGGCAACATCATCCTTTGATAGAACTATTAAGCTGTGGAATGCTGCAGATGTAAGTTATGTTTTTGTATATGTATATGAAAGTGGCATAGGAGATTATTCTTCCTGGAGCAATGGTACCCACAATTAGTGACATGCACTTTCTTTTAATGCACTGGTCATTGCAATAAAATTTTCACAAATATACCATATCACTAATATCTGACAGCACAAAGTATATATTTGTGGTCACGATTATTAGTTGGCATTGAGAGTTGAGTATGTCCAACCTATTAATCTGAAGTTCCGTATATGTACTTGCATTTAATTTTATTATGAAAATTGTTGTTTTGCAGCCTGGATTCTGTTTGCATACGTTTGTTGGGCATAATGTCCAAGTCACATCTTTAGATTTTCATCCAAAGAAGACGGACCTTTTGTGCTCTTGTGATGGCAATGGTGAAATCCGGTACTGGAATCTGACCCAGCTTAGCTGCATGCGTGCCATGAAGGTTTGCCATCTTCTTTTTGTTTGCTTAAGACGTTTTCGGCACCTTTTGTCTTATGAAGAATTCATGGTTTGTATGGTCTAGGTTCATCCATCTGATTCTGTTTTTGTTGGACAGGGAGGTACTGCCCAAGTTCGATTCCAACCTAACACTGGACAGTTTCTCGCAGCTGCTGCGGAGACTATGGTTGCCATTTTTGATGTTGAAACGCACAGCAAAAAATACACACTACAGGTTCTGTTCTTGAAAATCAATAACACATCTATGATTCAGCACTGTTTGTTGTGTAACCCGCAGTGGATGTTTTCAGTTATTTTTGTCTTTTCCTGTAGCTGAACTAGCTTTTTCTTAATGGAAAGGGGAGGAGCTATTGCTCTTCTGTTTTTTTTTTAAAAAAATAAAAAATCTATGATTCAAAACATGCACATCTTTATTTCCATGTTTTGTAGTATACCTCTTGTTTCAGAAGGGGTGGGAACCTGTTGTTTATCCTTTTTTGCCTGTGATCTTGTATCTGAAGTCTTTATTATCACAGGGCCATAACACAGATGTGCAATCAGTGTGTTGGGACAGCAGTGGGGAGTACCTTGCCTCTGTCAGTCAGGACTTGGTTAAGGTCTGGTCAATATCATCAGGAGAGTGCATTCATGAGGTTAGCTCCAATGGAAACAAGTTCCACTCTTGTGTGTTCCACCCAAGCTATGCCAATCTCCTTGTTATTGGAGGCTACCAGGTAACTACTGATTTTCTTTCAGTTTAGCCATATGTATGTAAAATTTACCCTTTTTTTCCCTGAAAGATAGGGAGAGACATGTTTCTAACAATCAATTTTAGACATGATTCCTTTTTTTTTTCATCTTGCAACATCCCATGGTCATTTTTAACAACGCTGCTGGTTTACCAACGCCACAAAAAACTATCCTAGTGCCAGACCTGCCAGTGACGCAATTTCTTGCCATATCCCACGTTATGCAGTGGCATTTCATTTTTTGGCATTGAGTTCTCCGCCACAAGAACTGTGGCATGGCTCTCATCAGAATGCTGTAATATCCAAGCCAAGGCATAGTCTGATATTTGGTTTGGAATCTGAGAATCGTTACTTCTGATGAACACTCTGTACCTTGTTTGCTGTAAATTTCTCATGGACACTGTAACAATGCAGTCCCTGGAGCTATGGAACATGGTAAAGAACCAGAGCATGACGATACAAGCCCATGAAGGTCTAATTGCGGCCTTGGCGCAATCGCCAGTGAACGGGACGGTGGCTTCTGCGAGCCACGACAACTCTGTCAAGTTGTGGAAGTAACAACAATAACGTACCTAGAGATAAGAATAGCTGTTCCAGGTAATTGATACTGGATTTCTTCAGCCTAGGCTAGTCATAGAATGGAGGTGAGTTTGATGTACTGGTTGAGTTGTGTTACTATCTCAGAGGCAAATAAGGAAGAGTAGGAGCCGGGCGATTGTCGCGGTTGAGCTGTTCAGTGCGTATTGCAGTGAGTTTGTGGGAGGGGCTGTTTCTTTTTTTTTTTTTTTTTTTACCTTGATGATAGATGTTGATGTAGCACAAAAGGAAGATAAGGAACGAAGGCCTAAAGTTGGCTCTCTGTTTCATGTTGTTAATGTTCTAGTATGAGATGTAAAATGTAACAATATTCGGTGTTTTAATGGGAACTCGCTGCAATTTGTCCGGCGGTTGATAGATGATATATAAGCCCCCGAGTCTTGAGATTATGTTGTACAGTGATGTTAACAACAAGGGACTATCGCAGGCAGTTGTAAGTTTCTGCAGGCAGCTATGTACGCTGATGTTTAACAGTCTGTACGTTTGTTCTGTAAAGTCCAGCAGATAGTGTGACGGATGATCGTTATCAGAACGCTTCCATGTGCATTCAATCCGACTCTATTTTTAGCAGACGTGTGAAAGACAGCCTGTGTGATGGACAGCAAGGGAAACAATTGAAGAAGCAAATCTTGGCATTTAAGCAGATGTCAGGAGCGTTGATGCCGCTAGCATGCGGCTAAATATAATATCAGTATGTATACAAGGCAGACTAAGAAGGCAGGAGCAAGTGAAAAATCAAGAGCATCAAAGAGAGCAAGAGGATCAGGTTCAGGAGCAATGGCCATGTCGAGAGCGCCGTTTGGCCTGGCTCTTGTTGCTGTACCGGCTGCTCTTCTTCTTCTTGTTGTTTCCTCCTGCCATGCATCCAGAGAACACCCAGGTAATCGCTTAATTTGTGTCTGATTAACCAACCGTGGGTGCAGTTAACAAGTAAAATTAATCAATGGGCAGATATACGTAATACTATGGCAGTGGGGAGCAGCAAGACGGTGGTGATATTGGATGATCCAAAGTGCGAGGTGATGGAGAAGTGCGACCCCAAGGGCTGTACGGATTACTGCATCGGCATTGGCCTGGGACAAAATAATGGCTTCTGCACCTTCCATGATCTTCAGTTCTACTGCTGCTGCCCCATCGACTAAATTATTTTTTCTAATTGTTTTCTTCATTCCAGGAGAAATATAGATATACGTACACATGCATCATCGTGTACTGTACTAAATTCACAATACACAAGGAATAAGTAGGCAATCTAATACTCTCTCTGTTTCAAAATGTTTGACACCATTGACTTTTTAAGTACGTGTTTGACCATTCGTCTTATTCAAAAAATTTAAGTAATTATTTATTCTTTTCATATCATTTGATTCATTGTTAAATATACTTTCATATACACATATAGTTTTACATATTTTATAAATTTTTTTAATAAGACGAACGGTTAAACACGTGCTGAAAAGTCAACGGTGTCAAACATTTTGAAACGGAGGGAGTATATACTATCTCTGTCACACCAACCGTATAAGGCATAACAAGACTTGACATGATATCCAAACTAATCTTTAAATTTTAATTTCTTCGTATACGACAATATACGAAATCATAACAATAAGAAAGTATATTCAAATGCTAAAAAATACTCCCTCTGTTTCACAATATAAGTCATTCTAGCATTTCTCACATTCATATTGATGTTAATGAATCTAGACATATATATCTATCTAGATTCATTAATATCAATATGAATATGGAAAATACTAAAATGACTTACATTGTGAAACGGAGGAAGTAATATTTTTGTCAAATAAAATTTAATTTATATTAGATTAGTGGTCAGCTAAATATTTTAAGAACCGAATCTTAAAATATGTACATATCTCTGCTTAAAAAAATATGTACATATCGTGCATTATGGGGCGGAGAGGGTACCGCTCATTTTAATTTTTTTTTCTCGTGGCATAGCCTGTGCCGGCGTCACGATCATGGCCAGGCCAGCCAGTAGTTTGATTTTAACCGAATAATGTCGAGGACAACCCGTGCGATTCAATTCAACCATAATTATCGCGCTTGCATTTGCATTGGCAGAGATTTGGCTGATTTTATTATTGCCGCATGTATCGTGAAAACGGTCGGAATCGGTAGCATTCCTTCGAAAACGATGCTCGATCGACCGGTAATTAACCATATTTATCATTTAAACTATTCAATATCAACATTAATATGGTACAGAAAGAAATTAGAAAAAATAAAATTTAAAAAATAGTCAAAAAAACGTTATGATCGGAACTCGGAAACGATACTCCTTGAAGGAAACGGCGCCCGGTCGATCGGAATCTCCCTGACCGTTTTCACCCCCCACCCCCCCTCCCCCCAAATCGATCTGCTACTGAATGTACGTGTACGCCGAAATTTCCATTCCTTTTTTGCCTTTTTATTAGCTAGCTGTCCACGTTCATGTGTCCCTCCGCCATGGCACAGATCCAACAACTACGCGTACCACTGTACTATACCACTACGCACAAGCCACACTTTTCCTCTACTTCAATTTCGCTACGTACGTACGCACGCTAGCTTTGCATCCATCTACATGTAGCCGGGGGATCCCAACAGCTACAGATCATATTTTAGATGATACGTATGATCTGTTGCATGCATATGCGTATATATATGTACCACACAGTTCAGTTATTGACTATCGACAAGCACAACGTACATCGATATCACCGACGCTGGAATATCATTTCATCCATCATCACCAGTAGATTTGTTCGTTAGATGAGTTTGAAGGATTTTCTTTGCACACGAAACAACAATAAACTCATTAACACATAATTAATTAAATATTAACTATTACAAATTTAAAAAAAATTATTAAACAACTTTTATGTAGAATATTTTTGTTAAAAAATATATCATTTAACCGTTTGAAAAACGTGTTAACAGAAAACTTGAAGTTTGGAATAGATGAAAAAAATTAGGCCTAGTTGATGAAAAAAAAAGGTAATAGCTTTCTTCACCATATGTCTCTTTTTCGTTAGGATTTTTGTGTGTCAGGACAAAAACTGGAAGACCAATCCTTCAGTTATCTCGTGATCATATAGAGATCCGATTGCCATGCCGTCATGCACACGGCCATATATATGACGTACGTAGTACCCAGATGATTTTGATTGATGATGAGAGGACGAACCAGTCCATCGTACTACCTCCGTTTTTTAAATAGATAACGTCGTTGACTTTTTCTCATAACAAAATAAATTATAATTACGTAAATTTTTTGAATTAAACGAATGATCAAACATATAAGAAAAAATCAACAGCGTCATCTATTAAAAAATAGAGGGAGTACATCAGTATTTGCATGCCCTTGATGACAATCGGATGGTCCAGTTAAGTTCATCACCAGCATCGATCTATTGTTCATCCTCCGTCGTACTATTATTTAGTTTCTTCTAGATCGATGTCGTCCTCTGCTGCCTCTTAACCACTCGGTTTCATCAATAGGTTCCCACTAATTCGGAAACTGTCTCCTAATAGAATACACAGCCCAGTGTCCTCATCTCATCTCATCTCATCCCCTATATATATATCCATGAATCGACACCATAGTGCCCGGGCATATGGTATCAAATATATATATATATATATATATATATATATATATATATATATATATATATATATATATATATATATATATATATATATATACACACTAGAAAAAATACCCGTGCGTTGCAACGGGTAAAATTATTTTTGGATCGCTGTACATTTTTCTTTGGTTTTGGACAAATACTCATTCCTTATTTCCTTTATAGTCCTAGCCCAGTCTGCTACCTCCCTCTGCTGGGCCTACCTCTCTTGCCTCTCTAAGACCTAACCCACAAGTGTAGCTGCAATTCCAGCTCACATAGTCAACTGCCGTCTTCAACCTCTAGAAGACAGTCTCATGTCCATACGATGCCAAAACCGATCATCCCCATCAAATTCGGTCGAATCTGTCTCGATCTTCTAAAATTGGTTGAGGACTTTTGATACACTCGATCTCCTCTTTTTGTTTTTATCAAAATCGGAGTGAATCCGCAAAACTTGATAAAAATGACTTTCAATTAGAGATTAAATTCGGTGAATTAAAGCAGAATTGAATGTGGAAAATCATGAGAAAATGATGAGAGAGTAGTGGGGAATTGATTTTTGCAACTAATTGGATGAGGGAAAGCATGGGAAACTAATTGATTTTTGTCGACGTGACGACAACGCTAGGGTTTGACCCAACGACGAAAAAAATATGGCAGATAAAAAAATCCTACCAAAAAAAAAGTAATAATAAAATAACGGATAAAAAAACGAAAAAAGAGGGAAAAGGTAAAAAAAATGGAAGGAAAAAAATAGACAGACGGAGAGAAACGGAAAAAAAAGCAGGCAGAGAAAAAAAAGGAAAAAAGGGGCGAGAACAAATGGGAAAAAAAAGTAGACGGAAGGAAAGGAAAAAACGGAAAACCAAAAAAAAAAGAGGAAAACGAAAAGCAAACGGATCGGAAAAAAAAAGAGGAAAACGGTGAAAAAGGAAAGGACGGACGAAATTTTTTTTACCGGAAGCTTTGCTTATTTTTTTAATTAGGTATATATATATATATATATATATATATATATATATATGACACTCATATGGGGCACCATGGTGCCCGGGCACCATGGTATCTAATGCACAAAATCACTCAAATTTTTCAAAATTTTCAAATTGTGAGTATATACCTAGTTATAATAATTTGATTCATACCTATACTTATCAACAAAACAACTCAAATTTAACTTTATTTCACAATCCATGATTACATACCTAACTAATTATATGTATGGATGCTATATACCTAGAATCAAAATCTAACAAAAACAAGTTCAAATTCAGTTCAAACTTGCTTTAAACTAGTTAGTAAAGTAGTTAATGTTAATACCTAAGTAATTGAAAAAGTTTCATACTCATTTGAATTGGGTATATACTCAATTTCAACAATGGTGCCCGGGCACCATGGAGCACCAAACAAATTTACTATATATATATATATATATATATATATATATATATATATATATATATATAAAAGCTTTATTGTACACCCCTCCCTTAGAATAATTATTCTACACCCCCTCCACTCAACTCCCCCAATCCGGCCCAGCCCACCCCACGCGCGTGCCTCCCTCTTCAGCCCCCACGCGCGTCTCTCCCTCTTTTTTTCCTTCTCTTCCTCCGCGCGCCGATCTCTCTCGATCTCTCCCTCCCTTCTTTTTTTTTCTCTTCTCCCTCCCTGCCGATCTCTCTTGATCTCTCCCTCCCCTCCTCCCGATCTCTCCCTCCCTTCTCCTTTTTTCTCTTTAAATTGGTAAATTCAAGACTAGAACACATGATCTCATGGTATAACAAACTCTCCTAACCAATTCACCCTATAACACTATGTGATTTGGGATCATTGTTTGCTTTCTCTATATATCTGTTCAGATTTTATGAACATAAACCTGTTATGTTTACTGTAGGAATCATACCTTGTTACTGTGATTCGGTAGTAATATTATCGCAGAAGTGCAGTAACACGATACATTACTGTGAAATTTATAGGTCGTTACTGTGAAATTTATAGGTCGTTACTGCATTTTTTCAATAACATTATGATGAAATTGCAGTAACAGAGAGCATATGATAGTAACGGTACTACTACAGTACCACAACTTGTGCATAGCAAAAGTTTTAAATCTCAATCTTGTGCAAAATACAAGTGCTAAAAAAGTGCATGTGCATGGTCACAAGTTAACACAAGTGCTAAAGTAATTCTCTTTACCCATACAAAGATACATACATAGTAGCAAGCTTAGTACAAGTAAACTTTTATAATTATAATCTTTAAACAATAATATCTCTTACATCGCATATTATTTTTTAGAATCGTTTTCACCATAATGCTTTAAAACGATGTTACAGCGAGACAATAGTCATGTTACTACACAATGATCGAGACAAAAATGCTTTTATAACATTGTTACTGTAGAAAGTAGTCGTGCTACTGCACAATGATCGTCGCGTTACTATATCGTTCCAGCGAGACGAGAACTTTAAAAAAGTAAATCTCAATATTTAGAGAGTAATATCTCTCACGTTATATAGTATTTTTCTAATCCGTTTACACCATGATGTTCGTAAAAAAGTGTTTAACAAAACTAGATCCATCATGACTATTTTTCGATGTTGTTACTGCGAGAAAGTTGTCTTGTTACTATACGATGACCATTATGTTACTGCGGTATTCCTGCGAGACATGAACAGTAAAGTGGTGGGCGGGGGAGGGAGCCAATGGACGGTTTGACTCTGGTTTAACCGGCGGGAGGAGGCTTTGACCAGCCTTTGACTAAGGTGGGAGGGGGGATTTGGGCCCTACAAAGGGTGCGGGAGGTGGGATTGGTCCATGGGAGGGAGGGGGGGTGTAGAATAGTTATTCTAGGGAGGGGTGTAGAATATATATATATATATATATATATATATATATATATATATGAAAATCGCTAGTCTATAATAGTAGCTGATATTGATCGACGCAATATCATGACTAGCTACGAAAAATTACGTTCTCTTTGTTCTAAACCATTGGAAGAACGTCATTAATTTACGACCGAAGAGCAGGGATAGATATCCATGGATGAACAGAGGAACTCTTTTGATCCTTTGAATGGATTTCACCTCGTTTGATCAAACACCATCTAACTAGTTACTCCATATTAAAAATATATATTTTAATGAACAGTCTACCAATTACTTCAGCTTGCGCATTCAAAACACACACACACAAAAAAAAATTTGAAACACCATTACTTAGCTTAGCTGTGTATGCATGTACCATGTACCATAGTTGTCCTTGTTACCTGGCAAAAGTCCTTGCAGAGTGCCATTGTTATTGCACACCAACTCAAAGCAGCAAGAGAGCCATGCATATTAATGGACCATCATATATAAAATCCCAGAAAGAAAATCAATAGATACAAGCTGCTGGGGTAAGCTGTAGTACACATGCATGCAGATACAGTACCACTTCAATGTCCTTTTAAAAAGATATGTTTTTTTTAAAAAGAGAGACAATTTTCTCAAATTTCTTGTATACATTTAAAATCTTCCTGTAAAAGTGGAAGGCCACATGCATGCATGCACATCCAAATACCAGATCCTCTTCCTTTTTCTTTTGGAGGTTACACAAAGTACACACTTGCTGTTACTTGTCATATATATGTACACCCTGAGCAGTATTCCTTCTTTCTGCTGCAGTGTGCCATATACATATATGCATGCATGTGGCCTAAACATGTACAGGTAAGTTAATACATATCCACAGGCAAAAATATATACCAAAGGGATAAGAGATACACAAAAAAACGAAATTGTAATAACACATAAAACCACAAAAAAATACCGTATAAACACCGTACATACAGTCCCTTACACACAGCCTGTGTGACGATTGTTTTCAAGTTTTAACAGTTGAGTCAATTCTGACTGTAGTTTCTTAATTTTGACGGCTTAATTAACTAAGAAACCACAGTCAGAACTGCTATATGTATTATACGGATTCATGGTAGTAATAATAAATTGAGTATAAATTAATCAGTACTACCAGTAATAGTAATAATTAATTAAAAGAAGGGAAATGCGCCTCCCTGACCCTGGCTGGGAAGGTCGTTGACCCAGCCGAACTTCTCCATGTAAGGGTTGACCAAGTTCGCCGGCGGGTAGTCGTGGATGCAATCTTCCCAGGCGCCGGCGTCGGCGAGGTCCTTGGTCACCACCCAGTAGCTGCTGTTGCACTTGAACCCCGACCCGAAGGTCACCATGAGCACCCGGTCGCCGGCGTTGAGCCGCCGCTTCGCCTCCATGTAGGACAGCACGTACCAGAGGCTGCTCGCCGACGTGTTCCCCCACCGGTGCAACGCCATCCTCGCCGGCTCCACGTCGTAGCTGTCCAGCCCGAGGCTCTTCCTCACCGCCTCGATCACCGCCGTCCCGCCGGGGTGGAGACAGAAGTGGTCGACGCCGGTCTTGAAGTTGATCTTGGCGGCGGCGCCGGCGGCGGCCTTGCGGCGGAGAAGCTTGCGGAGGAGGAGGCGGGCGGCGAAGCGGGCGAGCTCGCCGGCGGGGAGGATGCGCGGCGCCAGGCGCTGGAGGTTCTCGGTGAAGGCGCGCACGGCGGCCTTCGGGAGCGCCTTGCTGAGGCTGACCCCGAGGCGGCCGTCGGCGTCCTCGCGGTGCACGGCGGCGGCGTGGGCGTCGTCGTGGGCGCCGATGTGCGCGCGCACGAGGCAGCGGAGCTCCATCTTGGCGCGCGACCGGAACGCCGGGTCGTTGGTGAGCAGCGCGGCGGCGCCGCCGCACCGGAAGAGGCAGTTGCCCAGCATCATGGACTTGTCGGTCCCCGTGTACCAGTTGGGGGCGCACGACTCGGAGGTGAGGACGAGTGCCATGGTGCGCGGGCGCGTGAGCATGACGTTGCGGGCGAGGTCGACGGAGACGAGCCCGGCGCTGCACCCCATCCCGGAGAGGTTGTACGCCATGACGTCGTCCCGCAACCCGAACCGCCTGACGACCCTGTCGGCGAGCGACGGCGAGGGCGAGAAGGAGCCGACGTTGATGACGAGCAGGTCGACGTCGCGCGGCGAGACGGCGGCCCTGGCGAGGACGGCGGCGACGGCGTCGTCGAAGAAGTCGTCCATCTCGTCGAGGGCGTCGCGCAGGGTGGGGCAGTCCTCGCGGGCGTCGAGGACGTTGCGGGGGGAGTAGGTGTGCTCGCCGATGCCGGAGTTGACGATGACCTTGAGGAGGAAGCGGTACTCGGGGAGGCCGAGGCGCTTGTTGCGCTCGATGATGGCGCCGGCGAGCTCCGTCGTGACCTTGCGGTCGTCGGAGGGCTTGTGGCACGCGTAGTCGAGGAGGTAGCAGGTCGCCCGCCGCCGCCGCGCCGCCGCCTGCCACGCCACCCACGCCGCCGCGTGCGCCAGCAGCAGCAGCGTCACCAGCGGCAGCAAATCCATTACGTACTACTGATACCGTGATACTCCACGTACGTGCAATTGTGGAAGAAAATGCGTTGGATCGTGGTGGTGTGTGGCGGGGGGTGGAGGAGGTATATATAGAGTGGTCAGTGGTGGGGTTGGGGTTGGCACGCGAGAGGCGCGACACAACGGCTACGTATTCTTCTGGGGGGCGGACGGGGAGTTTTGGAGAAAAAAGCGCGTGACGATGCATGGATGGATGGGCGCGGATCTGTACGGGCGGTGACCCCTGGATTTCTCATGTGTTTTGCTCTCTGGTCGATCTGGTCGTATGGCGGCCAACGCCCAACCAGATTGGTCGCTCGCTGCAGCCTGCAGGCAGGCGCAGGCAGCCAATAGTTACGATAGAAGGCTATAAGACGAACTGCAAACATATTTTAAAAATATAAATAAAGAGAGAGAAGAGAGCGAGCTATAGATTTATAGCCAGCTGTAGCACGGATTACCAGACACAATGTGTGTATGACAGGTGGGACCAGGTATTAATAGTGTAGTATATAACTATTGTATGAATGAGCTATTAGATTGACTATAGATGAATTAGAGCTAATAGTTAGCTATACTAGAGTATTAAACTTGCTCTCACGGAGTATTAGCCATTGTTCGAGAATCGAGAGGACATTATTGGAGAAAATTGATAAAGATGCAAAACTAGCTGAACCATTAACTTAGGATTAATCTAGTATTAGTTATTTTAAACTTGGAAAATAAATTAATATATTTTTTAAAACATATTTTTTTAAAATAAAATCATACTCCACTATTTAACTGTTCGAGAAACTTTCACGTTAAAAACGAAAGGGACTGACTATACATTTGTCGACAAATTTTCTCTTAAAACTTTATCAAATATAAATATAATATAATTATATTATAATTACACTGTAAATTTATTTTTTTTTCACTCAATCTACTTCTGCCCATCACAGCCTAATTATTTAAGTTTTTTGCCTTTTTGTCGTAGTTAAGCTGCATGCCCCGTGCGAGCCGTGCACAGATCGAAATGAACCGAAGTACACACCTCTGCTCCATCTCCGTCCGTCCGTAATCCAAACGGCACCAATCCGGCCGCAGATTTCTACACCTTGATGATTGATACGACGCTAATGATTTCTATATTCCCAGTTTTCACCTTCAACTTTTACCGGACACACACGTGACGTACCTGACGTACCTGATCGATGTACTTGTGCTTAATTTTTCTGCTTTTCACCGTGCACTCACCTGCTGACTGATGCACACAGCTCACACGAGATTAGAGAGACGACTTTCCCGCTAACTCTACGTTCACTCATATTTAAATTTTTTCCAAAGTTAAATTTTAGAAAATTAAACACTAAATTAGTTTTATTGTATCTAACATTAAATATATTTTGATAATTCATTTGTTTTATATTGAAACTATTATTATTATATTTTATAAATTTGATAAAAGATTGACTAAGAAAAAAAAATTCAAAACGACTCTATGGAACGGTGGGAGTATGACACTGTTGCTCTCAATTATATATATGCTCTCTTTGTCCCTAAATTAACATACAGTACGTTAATTAACACCGCTCATGCTAGCTAGCTAGCTAGTTGCGCTTCTTCAATGGATCAACGGGACAACAATTCTACGTGCGCATGCATATATATTGGCAGAACTTAATTGATCTCTGGCTGGTTATCACGCTACTATATGTTTGGGTATCGGTAGTTTTTTTGGTACCGGTTTAAAAACCGTTACTTCTTTTTCACAGCCCTGATGAGGACATTAATTTCTTTCTTGGCACTAATGAGGGAGCTCACTAGTGTCTGAAATAAAATTGCAAGAGTAAGAAAAAAAAAACAACGTCTCAATCAATCGGTTTTGAATTCATTAAGTCAATGCTTAGAGCGGCCCCAAGAGAAGACTCACATACATATGCCAGGAATAGATCAAGAATTCTTCAACAGAACAATAATTTCAATATCAAACAGATTAATACTCCCTCCATTTTTTAATAGATGACGCCGTTGACTTTTAAACATATGTTTAACCATTCGTCTTATTCAAAAATTTTATACAAATGTATAAGATATAAATCATGCTTAAAATACTTTGAGTGATAAAACAACTCACACCATGATAAATTTTAATTACGTAAATTTTTTGAATAAGACGAATAATCAAACACAAGATAAAAAGTCAACGGCGTCATCTATTTAAAAAAAACGGAGGTAGGAACAATTCATCCAACACGTTATATTGCAGTTGACGTTTCCGTACGTTCCTCTTGCTGTGAGCTGATCTCCGCACAAGTACACAACGATACCGGCTTCACCACATGCAGGCTCGCCGGGTTTTACTGTTGCCACTCCACTCCACAGCAGTTTACCATCGTGCCCTCCTTTTCCCCTTCTCCTTTCAAACGCAGGGTCGTCGTGGCTCCAAAGCTCCTTCCATTGGATCCGAGCAGATGGAGCTCAGGAGCCACCGGATCTACTGGCCCCTATATATGTTAGAGATGAAATGGAGAGGCGTGCGAGTGCGAATGAGAGGTAGGTACGAATGTTATAAAAGTTAGTCGATATAGTGGAAAGACGACTAACCCTCCCGATCGCTTCAGTCATTGATGACCCAAGACATGCCAGATGACGACACAGGAACACATGATATTTGTTAACGAGGTTCAGCCGAATCCTACATCCCCGGGGCTCTGATTATGGGCGCTCCTCCCCAACCAATATAGCTCCTAGCCGCTACGAGTCCATGGCTACGCCGCCATCCTCTCCCTGCGTGTCTATGCTACATTGTAGTCGCCATTCTTACATTGTGGTGCCCCCCTCTCTATTTAAGAGAGATGACGGGTTACAGAGTCCGACTCTAACTCCACCCCCTAACACCTATTACAACTCCAAGTCCAACTGTAACTAAATAGGACTAGTATATTCGACACCTATTCTAACAACGAAGACAAAAGGGAGAGGCTGGTGTCCATCGGTGAAAGAATAAGGTTGTTTTAGAGAGGAGATGGAAATAGTGATCGAGGAGACAACTGAACCAGCTTAAAGATCTTTCATCGATCGAGAGAGCAAGGGGGCTGGTCTTTTTGGCTAACCGGTAGATGTGGTGTTCCGTGGACCGTGCATGATGTATTTTTGTCAAGACCGTATGTAAGCTGTATATATACTGTGTTTATGTATATATGTACATATATTTAGCAGGCACGCACGTAGTAAAAATGAACTAATTAAGACCTGCATATATATACGTATGCACGTACACAACGCGGTCAGATATTGATGGCACTTGACAGTAAGTAGGTGGAGATAACATTGAATTAATTGGAAAGTAATAAGGCATGTGCACGACTATTAACAACGTGGGCTTACGGCGAGCTCCCTGTACATATATACACGCACAATGCATGTTACCTGCTGCGATCTCCCACGTCTGGCTAGTACTGTATTACTGTATTCCTTTCAAAATTTATCACTTGGGTACGTGTAGGAACAGATGAGCTAGCTAGCTACTCCCTCCATCCCATAATATTGCAACCTAGAATGGGATGAGACCCATCCTAGTGTCCAGATTCGTAGTCCTAGGATGGGTCTCATCCTATTCTAGGTTGCAACATTATGGGACGAAGGGAGTACTCTCTCTAGGAGTAACATATATTGGTCGGTCCTCCTCCTTTTTAACATACGGTACGAACGCAAACGCTCATGCATGTCCACACGCACTCGCAGCTATAAATACACGCAAATCCTACCCATATAATTAAGCACCTCTAAAAAAAAATTAGACGATATATATATATATATATATATATCGATATTGACGATGTCACCACGAACTCTCGTTATCGATGGGTGTGTTCCCTATCGCTGAAAGAATAATTAGTCGTAAATATTGTAAATGTAAGCATCCATGCTAAATTTATAACTTGAACATTTGTGGACAAATCCATCACAACAAAACTAGCATGTTGAATCACCCTCACTTCACGGCTCACAAAATTTATTTTTTTTGAACGACTCGCACGAGACGATGCGAAGTTCTATTGATAGAGCAGGAAAAAATTACAAGATTACAACCCTGGAGGGTCGTAACCAGGAAAAGGAAAAAAAACCACCTCCCACACACCGACAGCGCCAACACACAACCCGGGAGAAGGCTAGCACCGGACCGGCCGCCGCTAAGCGTGACCGACCGCCGCTAGACCAACAAAGGAACACAGATAAGATCGCCCTCTCTGCGAATCCTTGGCTGACGCACCGATGCTCCACCACCTCTCCAGCTCTGTCGACATGCGGGACCCCTACACCGGCGGCCTCCGCCGGCCAGTCTTTGTGCGCCGAAAACCGCACCACACCCACCGGCAACTCCTCCTCGCACCGAGGTCGCCTCCTCCACCGCCGGCCGCGCCTCTCGCGCCAAACCGATTAAGTTCAATGAACAGAGGTGGAGAATGAAATACCTCAGTACTCATCATCACCTTACAAAACTGACAACAACGGAAGCTAGCTAATTAATTCCCACTTCTAAAAGAATGTAAAAGCTGAATAAAAAGTGTGGAAACATCCAGATCGAAACAGCGCTGCAGCTAGGTTTCTGGTCATCTCACTTAACAGCTGGGTTTCTGGTTGCAGGACCTCCATCTCATGCAAAATTAAGATTATTGCACATGCAGATAATTAAATCAATCTCCACACCACTTGACTTTGGCTAAATATCACCGTCTCGATTTGAGACAGTGCATGCATTTCGTCAAATTCGTCGTCCTCGTCGCCGTCGCGAGAACAGTAGTCGTCCTTAATTAATTTGTCTGCAGCTGAGCTGGTTGAAATCGATTGTCTAAACAAGATAGGATAAACGACTAGTTAACTTCTACTAGTAGCTACTACTTGTAGTCTTGTCTGCATTGTACGTGTTTTTAGCCAATCGATCACACATCTAGCTAGTTAGATAGTCATGTACGTTACTGCTTCAACTGCTTGTCATACAGGAGTATTCATGAAATTCATCAGTGCTGATGATCAATCTGCAGTGCATTGTTCAGAATATTGGATTTAGGAGAAAAAAGACATACTCCTATATATGCATGCGTGGTTGGAAATTATTAATAGTGGCGTCGAAATGAAGGGAACGAACTAGCTAGACAACCTCTACGACGACTCATGATGACAACGTAGATGTAGTCATATCTAGATCATCATTAATCCATGCATGGACATTATTTCTCTGAACTAATAAATCATGCATGATTAAGAAGTTAGGATGAATTAATCCAGGCCGGCAAGAGGCTGCAGGTTGGCCGTGAGTTCCCTACTTCCCTAGCTTAGTTCCACATGTACCTGAAAGCTTTGCTTCTGCAGGTAGGCAAGCTATCAGCTGTTGTGCTTTAAGTTGCCTCACGAGGAAAAGCAAGCCTTTTTAGGCCAATATAATTTGCTCATGCGCATTTGCTCCGCCAACCATACTGTTGGTAGCGAGCAAGAACAACATGCATGTTCAATTATATATATTGATGTTAAATTGTTCATCGATCGTTTCATCTCTGTACGATCCGTCGGTGATCGACGCATGGATGGCCGTTGTGCTTTTTGCAGTTTTTGCATGGTACTTCACTGCTTTGCATCACGCATGGCATATGCATCACATCGGCAACTATCTATAGTACATATATATTGGACGATATATCTCGTCAATTAATTATTGCTCCCTATTCCGTATTTCTAGCTATAAATCTGAACACATATTTATATAGATTCATAGCTATTAATTATTATATTTTGAGACGAAGGTAGGACTAATTTGCTGGATCGGTCGTTAGGCGTTAGGCCTGGCATACATGCATATACATCGATCATTGATCAATGCCTGCATTGATGATCGATGAGATCGATCGAAGCATATGGCCATATGGGAGATGTGATGGACTGTACAACGAAGAAGCTGCAGTAGCAAAATTTTCAGTGGATCTCGTGGGAGATCGCCGAACTTTTCTGGTCGGTCGAGCTAATAGATCGAAATATGTATAGGAAATGAGTGCAGATCTCTAGCTAGTTTGCAATTTTCAGACGAGTTATGAAATTAGTTTTTTCATTCGTGTCTGAAAACTTTTTCCGACATCCGATCAAACGTCTAATGTGACACCTAAAAATTTTCTTTTCGCGAACTAAATACGCCCGATCAGCATCCTCACCAACCTGCTGCTTGTTTATTAATGGCTACTAGTAGTACTGTAGGACTAGACGTACTGCAGGCTGGCGTGCAAGCTTAATTCACTAATTATCTCTTGATACTCATTCCGTCCTAAAATATAAGTATTTTTTATTACTCTGACATAGTCTTCGAGATACACTTTGACCAACAATATCTATAAAATAGATAAGATGTTTTAAATAAAAAGAGTTACATATTATGATAGATTGTTTAATAATAAATCTAGTAACATCAATTTTACATGATTGATATTTTTTTTGTTATTAATAGATAAAGTTTAAAATATTTGACTTGTCACTATGCTAAAAATTCCTATATTTTAAGGCAGATGGAGTATATAATTTTCGTCATGTATGTAGGCATCTGCTTCATGGAGGAATTTTATTTGAACACGCATAGCTACCGAGTACTACCTCTGTTTCAGGTTACAAGACTTTTTAGCATTATCTACATTCATATAAATATTAATGAATCTAGACACACATATATGTCTATATTCATTAATATATATATATGAATGTAGGCAATACTGAAAAGTCTTATATAATATAAAACGGAGGAAGTAGCTAGAGTAGTATATTGAACACGCATATTATTGATCGATCGTCTTTTTCTATAAAAAAAGAGAGATGAAAATCCGGCCTGTAGATAGCTTAAGGCGGTTTCCCGCTAAAAAGTTACTTCTACATCCGATCTAAAAATATGTACCTAAATTAATTCATATTCAGATATATATTTTGGGGTGACAATAGCTAGTACAAAAGTTCAGCATTCAAGCTGTACATCACACAACGTGATGGTGAAAGAGCTAAACCCAATAGTAAGACCACATTGTTTAGATGCAAAAATACCATGCATGCATGCAGGCCTTCTTCTGTGGTTAATTATACATTATATACTGGCATCTCTATGCACTGGTATAATTTAGATTCCTCATAATCAACATGTAAAACAATCTCTCTTTTTCCCCTCATCAATTAACCTAGAAACGTACGTAGCTTTTTCGCGTTTTATATGTTGTTTTAACAATATATAGTGTATTACATTATTGGCAAACGAGAGTACACAATAACGACTGAGAAAAAAACCGTGGAACAATAATTGACAGGTCACTGTCAACTGTGTTGACCAGCAAAATGGGTAGTAAGACCTCCTGATTAAGTTTTGCTACAGTCAGTATATATAAAAAAAGCTTAGCTATTCATCCTTGCATACGTAACTAATTAATTGCCCTGTACTCGATCCAGGGGGCAACGACTGTGATATGTACATAATCTCCATTGCATGCTATATTAATTATTAGTTTTATCTCCATGAATGCAGTGTTTGTATATTAATTTTTTTTGGAGGAAATATTTACATGTTAACAATGTTGTTCCTATCTATCAGCAGTGTGGCATTTACATATTATACTGTCTAAAGTTCAGTTTTTCTTTTTGCGATGGTCCAAAGTCCAAATTTGCTAGAACTGGAACACTCAATTATTGCTTGTCAAACAAAGTGGTCACAGGGACTAAAATTATACCACATGCTAAAGTCAAGGCAATTTAATACTTTCCTTTTCATGCATGGCTTAATTTATTAGTTATCTACCAACTAAAACAACGATCTAAACCATGCATAATATATCGTGGCTAAAACGTTCATATATCTCCAGCTGACTCTGTTTGACTTTACGTTTTCATAGCTGATGATGCGTCCCCCATATATATATATATATATATATATATATATATATATATTAAGGACACGTTTCCTTCTCTAGAGTGAATTAGATCAAATTAAGATTTTCAGTGAGTTGCTTATATACGCGCACATACGAATTCAAAAAAAAAAAATCTACTGTTCCTGTTAGGCATGTTCCAAGCACGTTTTTGAGAATTTTTAGTAAACTTTGCTTGTATGCGACTGTCTTGATGATTTCTTTTACTCCTAGGGACCAAAAATGCATGGTTAGTTGCGGCTACCAAGAGTTCCAGAAACAGAATTAAATGTGCTACCCAACCATTGTTAACTTGACCTTTTTTCGTTGACCTCATATATTCATGCCTAACGCGTACGACTATCTTAGCTTGCTCAGTGTACTCAATTTGACAATTTGAGTGTCTTGACAACTCTTTACTTGTACGCTAGGTCAGCCAGATCAGCTTGAGGAGCATTCATTCGTTAATGCAGTAGGGCCGGGACAATCTAATTCCTACTCTTATCTCTCTCGATCGGATCTCGTCTACTGCTAGCTTAATCAAGTATACAGTACAGTTAGAGTCGGGAAGACGTCGTCTCCTAACTTATATAACTAGAGCAAATACAATAGTGAACTAATAATCTGCTTACATCACATTTTAACATACATAGTAGAGAGAGAGAAAGAGCGGAGAGAGAAAAGCGAACGACTATATTATCGTCGGCTCATGCGCTCGCTCTGACGCAGCCCTGTGCAAGGGATGAGGTAGCTGTGAACAGCCAATAAAAAAACAGAACTTTATGTTGGGTAAAGCAACACTATAGACGGTTACTGTATTTAGCGTGGTTTAATTAGCTGTTAGATGACGTGTTAATTTTTTAGCCCTCACGGTTGACTGTACTATTAAACTTGCTCTATAGGCAGCCACACTAGTTCTTTTTAATAAGAGTAATTTGGAACCATGCCATTATAATTTTTTAAAGTTTGAGATATGCCATCGATATCTCAATGACATGTAAGACCCACATGAGTCAATGACATGTGGGTCAGGATGGCATATCTCAAATTTTGTAAAATTATAATGGCATGGTTACAATTTTTCCTTTTAATTTAATAATGGGTTAAAAAAACCCAGCCTCCACGAGCCAAGCCACTACGGCTGTGTTTAGTTCAGCGCAAAGTTTGGATTTTGGTTAAAATTGGAGATGATGTGACTGAAAAGTTACAGGTTGATGTGATTGAAAAGGACTGAAGTTTGAATCCAAACTTTGGATCTAAACACAGCCTACTTTAAAAAAAATCTAATTCTAAAGATATATCTAAACATGTATCTTGTTCGGATACGTTTTTAGAATTGGATTTTTTTTTAATGAGGAGAGTAGTTACCATGAACTAATTACAGGCACAGTACACATTTTCAGTAAAAGGAGGTCAGAGTCCGGATACATCTCCCGTGGAAGTTTCAGCGAAGTTGAGATTCCAAGATGCATCTCCCATGGCACATTCAAGGTTCAGAAAGATCCATACGGCTTTGCATTGCTGCCAGATTCAGTGGCAATGAGCGGCAGTTGCACGGGTAAAGCGAGGAGACGCACAGGCTGGTGTAGCTGCTTGACCGGAGCTGCGGCGTAAACGCGTATGGAAGTTAGTGAGCAGCGTGCAGGGCGTACAGAGTAGGCACACGGGAGCCGTGGTGAGAGAGAGAGCTCCTTACGATTACGAGACAGGCATTCACTCATGACAGCCTCGCCACAAACGAGAACCATATGAAAGATATAGCAAATCTTGAGTGGGCAGGTAGGATTCAAGGCAGCACAGTAGTATTCGTAAATGCGCGAGGCACCAGGCAGAGATTGAAGACACCAATTGGCACGACAAGATGATACCCTTCTTGCAAAATCTGCTGTGCATTTGGTGTCCGGTCAGGGACCATATGCTATTGCCGTCTCAGGGAAAAGGACCATTGCTACATTGCTGTTGCACACCTCATACTCATACTCATCATACCTGGTGCCGATGCCCACCGGAACACACAATCCGGCGGCGGACAAAGATCTCATCTCCTGTCCCAAACCTGTATGTTCTCAACTTGGCAATTACAATTTACAGTGAGCAATGGATGATATTCAGAGAGTTTGTCTGCAGGCAGAACGAATGATGTCCCGCCCGCTTATTTGGATCAGAAAAACGCAGAAGTTTTACTCTCTGTACAGGCTGATATGCAGAAACCTTATTTCAATCAAGTATACATTGTCTCCTTTTTACCGTTCCAGGTAGAATCCCTAACGTGAAATTACCAGATGCAAACCAGAGTACACTTTGCCACAAAATATAAATCAAAACGGGTATATATGTTTCTTTATCCAAAATTACTCATCTTGCCTACAAGTTTGTCTTTGGCTTGGATGATGGGCTCACGCGCCTGGTCAAGGTCCGCATTGTCACAAACTCTTCAGCAGCAGACGGGTGAATACCAACCTGCAAAGCCAATGGATAATATTAGAAACTCGAGTGCCAAATGATATTAACAACTGGTTTATTGTTGTGTCCACGTACAGTGCTGTCAAAGGTCGCCTTGGTGGCTCCACACTTCAGCGCTACAGCCATACCCTGCAATTGGTGGAAAGTCAGGTGCAAAATACTAGTGAAGACTGGAAAATGCCACGATTTTTTTGTGTGTGAAATAAACACACAAACTTTGCTTACCTGGATAATCTCTGGTGCATCTGGTCCACACATTGATGCACCAAGTACTTTATCAGTCTCTGAATCAACCACCAGTTTCATGACGGTCTTCTCCTGCCGTCTAAAAAAAGTGAGCCGAGTCAGGAAACTTCACCAGAACAGGAACTATAAAGAATGACGACACTGATAGGCTCCATTACTAGAATGTTTATGGTCCATGAGACCATGACAAGTGAAAATAATGAAATACCCAGAACCTTCAAGTGATAAAGCACTCAGGAGTCAGGTGTAACTATGACGTAACAGATGATCTTGCAATAAACATGATACTTACTTGGATATGCTGTTCTTCATTGGGTTGAAGCTGGAAGTGTAAACAAGAACATCGCTCTTGGCTTCCTCCAAAGCCTGCTGTTCACTCAAGCCCACTACTGATAGTGGTGGGATGCTAATTCAACAAAAAAAGAAACCATGTTATGAGTGACACGATGATTGTGGAAAAGCAGATAATCTAAAGAAAGCAGCAGCAGCCATAAATGCACTGAATAATAGATTGGTAGAAGCACTGGCAAAAGCAAAAATCACTAGTGAAGGATCCTTAGATCTTGTCTATTGAAATGACTAATTTTTTTTCTATCTAGATTCTAGTCCATGTTTTGTTAATGTAGAATTTAATTGTTGCTTACTTCCTAATGTACCCTAAACTACATAGGCATCAATTAGAATTAAGAAACATCCAGCATAACAACCGCACACAAGTTTCATGCTGCTCAGTCAAACCTGGAAGAATAGAAAAGTTACCCTATATCACGTCATGCTACTCTCTTTCACTGCTAAGATCTAAGCAAATAAACATTCGAAGTGCAGACAAGAAAACCAAACCACAGTGTGCCTCACCGAAAGTGTCAAAAGCAAAGAGTTGTGAAGTATATATGTGGCCATCTTGTAGATGCTACTTGTTTCAGTTAAAAACAAAAACTGGAGATAACAGAGAACAATCAAGGTTTATTGGCTTACGAGAAAACAGCACAAGGTACATCTCTGTAATCAGGTTTAGTTGGCTGGCCACCAAACACAGTTTTCTGCAATTAAAGATTAAAGTAAAGTTGCTGGTTACACAGAAACAAAGAAATTTGAACACACCCAATTTACAAGGGGATTATGAGTCACTGTAGTCACTTACAGAAAAGCAGGTAGCCTCCATCAGTGCAACAGGTGTTAAATTTATCCGGTTCGTTACATCACCCACAGCCCATATATTTGGGACTGATGTACGAGAATAATCATCAACCTAAAAATAGAACATTGAATAAACAACACAAATTACTTGTAGTCTCAAAGAATATCATACAAAGATAATGGCCAATTAAATGCCTAAGATGGTCTCACATAGGTTCACGCGTAAGTTTTCTCCAAGGAAATACGAGAAGTAAATTTCAGATGAACAAATATGTCTTCAGCAAGCTAACAGCCTAACAGGTAAGGGTTCAATTAATAAGGCAAGAAAATCAACCTTTATAGCTCCAATATTATCAACTTCAACACCAGCAGCTTCCAAGTTCAACCTCTGGGAGTTTGGTGTGCGACCTGCACGCAATTAAATACCAGGCATAGCAACAATATTAAAGTTTCCTTCAAAGAAAAGAAAATCAGGATAAATGCCACATTCCAAATATAGTGTGAAAAGTAGAATGTCTCATATTGAGCATCTCAATTCCCAACAACAAGAGATAAAAAAAAATGTTGTGAGGATGACATTGATCAATTTCAAACATGCATATGGTGCTTGACCATGTGAAATATCAGAAGATACATGATTTTTTTTCATCCAGCACAGAACAGTCATCAAGAGAGATGTATTCAAAGAAATTATTAAAGTGACAGAGAACATAACTTTCAGCATTGAACTATCCTAAATACCTGTAGCAAACAGAACAACATCTGCAATGATCTCCTCTCCTTTGTCAGTGACAACTTTTATGCCATCGGCTGTTTTACTCAACTGGTTTACATAAAAAAGAAACAGATCAAAACCTATCGTGAAAACAGAACACATGGGAATCAAAATGCACTTTAGGATGTCAGCTTAACTCACCTCAGATAGATTTGTCCCTGGATGTAATCTGATTCCCCTTCCCTCAAGGTTACTTGCAACAACCGTCCTCATCTCATCATCGAAACCTCTGCAATTAGTCAATTCGCCATTAATCATGGTGGATAGAACCGTAATCAATAGCTTGAAATTTTGGCTAATAAAAATGACATTGGCATTCTTTCTCCATAATCATTATTCAGTTGTTCAGATAGCATGGTCCAGGCTTCGCAATCGCATCGTTTTATCTGATAACTAGTTTCATCATCCATGTTTTCATTGTAGGTTGATGATATTGCAAAAAAAATGTTCAGAAAATAAATTGCATCAATGTACAAAACGAGAAGATCAAGTAGTATTAACCACCAGGGTTGGCAAAAAATTAAGATTGTCAAAATAGGACAGTAACTAAAGTGGCACATGACTGAGCCCTGAAAACAAGACCAAAAGCTTCAGTTAGACTAGAAAACCATGCTATCAACTCTAGCCACATTATGACATAAAAACTGCAACTACAGAAGCTACATTGATGTTCTTTTTTCTGATACTGAGCAGTAAATTGTTTTGGTGTACAATTTTAAATATCTGGAGGTCACAGTGCAGATAACAGATTATAATAAATACCTTAGAGGAAGCTCTTTTCGATAAAACAAGTCTACGTGCGCACCCATCCCTTTCCATATAGAAGCAAATTCAACAGCAATATATCTGCAATATAGCCACCACATGAACAAATGCAAGTCTGAGATAGTTGGAATGACATAACAATATATAGTACATAAATGCACCCTAGAGTGTAGACATACCCGCCACCAAGGATTACAGCACGTTTTGGTAGCTCCTCCAAACTTAAGGCCTCATCTGAAGTAATAGCTAACTCCTGCAAGCGGGTTCTTATCAGTGTCAGCCAAAATAATACACCAAAGGACATTTAAAAAAAAACTAAAGGGAAAAGAAAATCAGTGATGTAACCAGCACATATATATGGCTAAGTATAATTTGTTGGATTAAAGATAATGCTTTGTCCCTCTTGAACTGGCTCAAAGGAAGTCTTGTAATGTCAAATCCACACCAACTGTGTCATGGCTGGACGTTATGGTATAGTATATCAGCGGCGGCGTAATAGAGATAAGTCAGATTTGGCAAGTGCTTCAGCAGTTGGAAAGTCCTAATAAGCTCCTTATCAGAGTTTCATAGTTTTGTTATAAGAGTCCTAGTAGTATCAGGTTAATAGTTTGTATCCGTTTCCCTTATCTAGAGGCACCTCAGTATATAAAGGTAGCCTAGTACTCCCTCCATTCCAAAATATAAGGCACAACCACCTTCAATCACCTCATAGTTTAGATTAATCTAATAAATGTAATACATGCACCCAATAAAATTAGAGATCTTGATAGTGGAGAATTTAAATAATAATATTTTAGTGGAGAATATGTGTTAGTTAATGGCATGCATGCATGTATGCCTTATATTATGGAACAGCTTTAAAAAGTAGTTGTGCCTTATATTATGGAATAGAGGGAGTATTGTATTTTGGGTCAAGTAATAAGAAATATCTAAAGGGGATTAACCCTAAAAGTTCAGCCATATCAAACTGGCTATCACAAATAATTATTGATGTGCAACAGTATCACAACAAATACAGAAGATGGCATGGAAATCAGCATCACGAGGTCAATCCAAAGGTTTCAGGCACAAAAGTTGGGGAATATAAAGAAGTTGTCAAACAAGTAACAATGCTATTAACTACTTGCCAGACATAAGAAACAAGTTTGCAAAGGCTGGCAGAGAATTTTGTTACCTTCCCAGGAATGTTGACACGTTGAGCTCGGCTACCAGTTGCTATCAATATGTGCTTTGCTGTATATCTTTGCTTTGAACCATCTGGCTTTGTGACTTCAACTGTATGAGCATCAACCAAACTGCCTGCCCCTTCAATCATTGTCACACCAGAATTGCCAAGAATCCTCTGGTATACTCCATTTAGTCTAACAATTTCTTGAGTCTGCAGAGAACGGTTTTTACAATATTGGGTTGTAAGCATTTATAACGAGCAAATAATAATGCAGGAACGTTCTCCCAACCAAGGTTGCGGCTCTGACCTTATTTTCCAGCAGCCTTTTCCAGTTGAAGTTAATGTCCCCATTGATTTCCCACCCAAAATTCTTTGCATCCTGCAATCATACAACAGTAGCAATTCCAATAAGCACCCCAGAATGACACTTCAGTACATGTACTCACAAAGATGCAAGCAAGCTAAATGAAATAGTTTGTATAAAAAGATGATAACAAGCTCTCAAATGGATAGGTTATTGGATTTCAAGTCAGTACGCAGAATGATGAACTGTTGATCAAGGATGGAGGCTGTAAGGCTTAGCAAATTTTGCAAAAATTGAGTAAAGGAACATAATTCAGCAAGCCACAGCACATTGAACCTAAACACAATGCTTCCAACTTGTTTTTCAAACAAGTAATAGTTGGCTCCATAAGTTAGTAAGATCAGTTACCTCAAATTCTCCGCGGAAAGATGAACCATACACCAGTATCTTTTTAGGCACACAACCACGTATCACACACCTAGCACAACATGTACAATAATGAGCATGCGGGTTTTAGGATGCAGCAACATCTCACATTCTCACCCAGGGGATGAGGAGAGTTGGTTTAAATCATAATCAAGCATTCAACGACAGAAATGTAAACGCAGACAAGTAATCGGCAGATGCTTACGTCCCACCATGCCCTCCTTGCCAATCCGAGCTGATGGGATGGAACGGGAGCTCGCAAATCGCAACCTGAACCGCGCCACACACCGAATCAAATCACACGAAAAAAAATAAAAATCCAACACGTTTCCTCGCAAAAATGGGGAGCGGGGGAGAGGAGAAAAGTCAAACCTTAGCCCCGAAGGACGCGGAGGTGCGAGAGCCCCGGACGCCGCCGCTCCCGGCGCCGATCACGAACAGGTCGTAGTCGTAGCTCCCGCCGTCGGTGACGGCCACCTCCACCTCCTCGTCCTTGAGCATCTTCCTAGCCATGGATCCTCAACACCACACGAAAAACCCTAACGCGCACACGCACAACAGAGAGAAACAGAGCCCCTCCTGAGATTGACAACAACTTGCAATCCAAATCCGATGAACTTTAGCGCGAGGAATCACTTGATGAGACGCGATTGCCGCCCCGCGACGCGCGTGGAGCCCAAAATCCACCGCTAAAAACAACCAAAAAAAAAGGAAAGGAGAAGAGAGAGAAGTGAGCACCGTACCTTGGGGTTGGGTTGATTTGCCGGCGGCTTAAGCGAGCGAATTGGTTGGATCTGTTTCTTGTGTCGGATTTTAAAGGGGGGCTTTGGTTTGTGGATACGTGGTCGTTGGAGTTCCTACGCCGCCATGTCCTGGCAGCATCTGAGGCGGCTTTTACACGGCCACGTTGGCACGCACGCAGGTGCTTAGAGCTTATTTGATACAACTCCAGCTTGAGATTTAGTTTTTTTTAGACTAAAGCTTAGTCAAACAGTTTCAGTTTCAAAGTACAGTTGAATGAGACGCTTTTATAAAATAAACTGGAGAAGTAGAACTGGATTTGGACTGCTTCACAACTTTACTCCAAACCTAACTTCTGAAGCTAAATTTAGGAGTTAAAACTTTACCTAATAGACCATTAATTAGTTAGTTAATTTTTAAAAAATGTTAAGTTAAATCATCTGACTAAGTTCTTTTTATAAAAAAAGAATCATCTGACCATAATATGCTTACATCAGCCGTGACAATTCGGGGATCCACTGTGGATGCAGTGCTCCTAAAATTCTGCAGGCAGCTGCTGACGAGATGGAACTTAACAGCTACTCCAAATTACGGAATACTGTAAAGAACTTATTATTACCAAAAAAAATAAATTAGGTGCTCAGTTTTTATCTTGGCACTTGTACATGTTGATTACAACAGGGAGAATGCAGGGTTTGTTCTACCAGAGATTGGCTTTGTTTCATGTTCAGTTAATCGGGATAGCTTCTACTGCAGCAGATTCCATTTCAGAAAAGCAAAAGGAGACTTTCAGTGATTCGGTCTGTGGTGTAAAAGCCATGTTCGTGCCGTGTGTTTGTTTCCAGATGCGAACTTGCATTCGATGAATCTGGACGGGACAGAAATGCCTTCAAACGTGGAACGTGGACGCGCGTGGCGAGCAAGATGGAGCTTAGCAGAAGTCGACATCTTTGGATAAGTAGCTTTCGATTTTCGAACTGTCAAGAGCCAAAGAAGGCCACGTATACTGTTTAGTTCTTGTGAACTTTCTGTACATGTGAAATACACCGATAAAACGGAAGTAAGCCAGTAACCTTTCTTTACACATGGAAGACAACAGATAACATTAAAGAATTTAACTGAACCTTTTAAAACAATCAAAGAACCAAGCTCTGTCTGTCCCTTTCCGGTCTTTCAGAGAGGTGACAACAATTAAACTCTGTCGACGAAGTCATGCAGTTGAGCCCCCTTCATCCTTTTGTGTTTTTTATTATCAATTTTATTTTCTTGTTATTGCCAATCCTAACACAAGGGGTGGTGGCGCAGTTGGCTAGCGCGTAGGTCTCATAGCTATTTGAGTTATCCTGAGGTCGAGAGTTCGAGCCTCTCTCACCCCAATTTCTTTTTTCTCTTGGCCTATATCATTTTTTTTAACAGCCGTTATCATTTATTTTATATTTTTCTGTTACCAAAGTACGGAGTTATTCTCTTGGCCTATATCATTTTTTTAACAGCCGTTATCAATTAACCAAATGCACAATGACTCTGATTTTTTTTAACAGCCGTTATCATTTATTTTATATTTTTCTGTTACCAAAGTACGGAGTGAGTGGTAAGCCAAATGGACAATATGCTTTCTTTCCAAGTGGACAAGAATAGGCTGTACGGATTTACTACTAAAATTTTCGTTCTTGCGTCAAAAAACCTTGAGAATGCGTGGACTGGGAAACACCATCGTCTCGCCAGGGTAGAAAGAATAGGATATGCAAGTTTACACAGATTTTCCGCGATGTTACAGAAGCAGTGGCTCCAAGCCTCCAAGCACCGAACTGACAAATTAGTTAATGTTCAGATAAATATAACCAAAATACTCCGCAGCCGCAAGGATTTTCAACTGAACAAGATTTAAAATGGCAACCGCTTCTTTTAATTATATTTTGCAAACCAAATGTAGGCTATTATCAAGCATCGCACTATGGTATTTTCTTCTCGGCAGAAAGTTCAGTTTGCCCGCAAGAAAAAAGAAACACACCTGTAGTTTTGCACAGCATTGGCAACAAAAGCCAAAACCACAAACAAAAAAAATGGCGCATTATGAGTCTTATTTAATTACACGCGCCTTGATCTTAGAAGTTCATCAGCCAGATTTCTTAAGTCTGATCTCAATGCCCTGCACAATAAGACCTCTCTTCCAATTGCCTCCCTTGGTCTCCATCAGGCTGAAGCACACCTCTCCATCTTCACCTTCCTCGTTGATGAACTCACCCATCTCCAGCTCCATCCACTCGTCAGTCCTTTTCTGAGGGACCGTTACACCTTCATCAAGAACTAGACGACGGTCTCTTCTCCTGGCCCTTCGTCGCAGCAATGGACCAATACTCATAGGCCAGTAATTCTCAGGCACCTCCTCATCTTCGCTGTCATAGCTTTGGACACAAACAATTTTTGTTGATCCCCTACCTCCCAGGCTGACTGATGCCTCCTGGAATGGAGCATCCAGCCCATAGAACTCATCAGCTATCTTAAACACCATGTATGCGGCATAAGTTGAGTTTGGGGAGAGCATCTTGCTGTGTATCCTGCCACGGATTTCCAACCAGCACACATCTATGAGTTCAGCACCTTCTGCAAACCTGTCGTGATTTGTGAACAATGGGTTAAAACTTGTAACAAAGAGAAATGAACAAACATTAAGTTGCAGAGGAGCATTCAGCACCAGAACCAAAATCCCATAACTTCTGTACAGAACCCTGCTATACACCCGACTTGTTTGTTTGACTGATGTACAACTGAACGGCGGAACAGACCAGTGCGTGACAGCGTGAGGCAGCAGTACGGGTTGGTCCTACGGAGATCGACGTTTTGCACTCCCGTACATTACGGTTGTCCAAGAATCGGATAAGCTGGTTGTGTGTATAGCATTTTCCTTTTGTTTATTAACCAAGCCGTTCATCAGTACTACCGCGTATACCATTTGCACGACTATAATGAAGGCACACAACAGGTCAATTATGTAAAGTGCCTGCCATTCTATAATCTATTGTTGCAAATACCATGCACTTTACTACTTTGCTCTTGAAAAGTAAATGAAGAAAGACACTTCAATCCATGCTCAGAGAGAACACTTTACTACTTTGGCCGCTTTCGTTATCATCGAATTTGCATAAGAATCTGCCCTTGTTCTGGGGGTAATAATATTCGGAACTACACTTCACCACAAATACATATTCTAGTTGATTCATCATACTATTATGTAGTATAGTCTATTCTCCCATCAGACCACATAATGCAATCTATTCTCCCATCAGACCGGATAATACCATTGCAAGTTGCAACGAGATTGCAAGTCCATCACTCAACGCACAGGCATTGCCTCATTGGATCAAAATTTCCACATGAATTGGAAAGATCAGCACGGTTTAAGTTCAGGAAACGGACCTAGAGTCGGTGAGAGGAATCCAGCGCCAGTAGTGCGGTGTATCGCCCCAGATAATCACCAACGATCTGGCCGAGAGCATGTAGCACTTGGCCCCAGTCTCCCTGTCCAACCACATACTCTGCACCCAAAAAAAAACACAAATATTAGATCGCCGATGAATCGAGAGAACTGAGATCAACCATGCTTCGATTAATCCGTCAACCGATTTTGTTGGATTGGGGATTTTCATAAAATAGAACGCACCATGAGCCGGTCTGATAGGAGGTAGGGGCCATCGGAGAGGCGGAGGAAGAGCTCCTTCTTGGAAGCCGGCGCGGGGGAGAGCTCGCCGTCGGCGAGATCGGGGAGATTGCGCGGCAGGAAGCTAGCCCAGACGGCGTCGGAGTCGGCGGCGGCGCGGAACGCCGGGGAGACGGCGGCGGCGTGGCAGGCGTCCCGCGGCGAGGCGCGTGAGATCGCGGCGGAGAGGAGCTCCTCCGGCAACCGCGCGATCTCGCAGAGGCCCTCCCCCTCCTCCTCCATTGATCCCTCCGTCCTCGAATCCGGCTTGATGGCGAAGGAAAAAAAAAACAGAGAAGGAAAATATCGTCGGAGAGTGTGTGTGAGTGCGCGGTGGTTGAAAATAAAACTAGAAAAGCTTAACTACGAAGCAGAAGCACATGCGGGTGGATAGGGTCATAGGGATAGCGATGCGTTTCAGGAGAATCAGACCAAAAGGAAGATTACTTTTGTTTTCTGTACTGTGGGGCTTACATGTCATACTAACGCGGAGTTTAGTTCCAAACTTTTCCTTCAAACTTCCAATTTTTTCATCACATCCAAACTTTCCTACACACATAAACTTTTAACTTTTTTCGTCACACCATTTCAATTTGAACCAAACTTCCAATTTTAGCGTGTACTAAACACACCCTAAGAGCAAGTTTAATAGTATAGCCAACTGATGGTTCCAAATCATCTTTAGGTAATCTGATAGTACATTCATAAAATAGTTATCTATAAAAATATACTACATCATTAATATCCGATCCCACCTCTCATACATATATAATAATGTCTTAAAGTCCGTGTAGCAGCTGGCTACAAATCTGTAGCCCGCTTTCTTATATTTCTTCTCGATATATGGTTATAGCTGGCTTAGAGCAGGTACAATAGCAGGCTATAAACCAGCTATAAACATATTTTAAAGAGATAAATGAAGGGAGAGAAGAGCAGTGGGCTACAGATAGTACGGACTCCAAGACGTAATGTGTGTATGATAGGTGGGGCCAGATATTAATAGTATAGTAAACAACTATTGTATGAGTTATTACTTTGGCTATAGATGATTTAGAGCTAATAGTGTGATATACTATGCTCTTATAGCTATTGCACCTGCTCTATGCATACTCGGATGCTCCCATCCTTGCGGTGCTCTCTCGATGGTGTCCAACTGTTCCACCGCGGGTTGACCCGGCGCTTGTGGTGTGTCCATCAGTCAGGTGTCGTCTCCCGTGTCGTCGTGTATCATTAGCGCGATCGTCCAATTCAACTATGACAACGTCATATGTTCTATTCTATTATTACATGGGAATCTTGCGATTATGTTACTATTGAATATAGATTTTGCACAAATACCACGCTGTATATATTAATTAATCTATCTAAACGTCATGGGAATGCTTGAGAGTTAGAGCGCCACGTTAGCAAACATTTTACAAAAACGTCCCCAAGTTTACAGTTAATCATGCATTGCTCCCAGCTGCCATCCACCGCGAACCGTCTTATCACACTCCACGTAGAAATGCTATCCTAAACAAAATGGTCTTTGGATTTGTCTTCTTCTAATATTCTTTCCTCTAACAGACACCGCACTCATGACTTCGGGGAATAAACGAAACGATATATTTACAAACAAAAAATAATCTATGAATAAAATTTTATACACGTGTTTTTAGTGATTTAGTAGCAAAGGCTTAAAAAATAAACTTCAATAAAAAAAACCCCAAAATCAACTTTAAATTTAAGATAAAAAAAATTCAAATTTTATCTGCTAAACATAAACATACCGGGCACAGGCACACTAGCCCCAACATGCCGACCTGACCGTTCTCCTTGAGGCCTTGTTCGGTTGCTTGGGAATTAATCCCCAAGGGATCCTATCCAGGGAGGGATTGAGTGAATCCCTCCTATCTCACTCAAACCCTGTGGGGTTCGAATCCCTGCCCGTTTCTAATCCCTGTCATATAAACCCTGCCTTCGTTTAGCACAGGGAAATATAAAGCAGCAGCTGTACGTTCCCAAGCAAGCAATGAAACAATATGCATTCTCCCAGATCAAATCCATAGGACGCAGTAAAAAAAACATTGTTTTAGCACAGGGAAAACACACATGCATGCCGTACGTTCACAAATGCATACATGAAAGTGTCACAAAGTAATAAAAATGGTTACAGTTCAGTTGTTTTTTTTAGAATAAATAGAAGTAGCCAGCTAAGAGCTAAACTACAAATTGAATGCAAGTGTTTAAGCTTAGCACTAATGCCACCATGAGCTTCAGTCACCCAGCTGCAGTGTTCCCATCTCTGAAAAAAAATGGAGCAACATTGGATCAATTCCAAAAAGAAATACACCATATATGTTCTTTCCTGTCAACCAAATATCAAATTGAACAAATGCAGAGTACAGATTACATAAGAGCAAACAAGTAAAGCAAAGAGCCACACTAATATCCAAACTAAGGCTGATGCACTACATGGAATGCTAACAGTCTGATAGAACCAAAGATGAAAAGAGACCTAAAAGTTCAGGAACTAGGAAGCTAACAAAAAAATCTAACAATTCAGCCTTGACAACATAGTAATAATGAAGTACATAACTAGAGCCACACGGTACCTTAAAAAACATTCTTTTATCAGGAGCAAAGCAGATGCTTCAAAGTAAATAAAATTGCACTGCTATACTGCTTAAGTTTAGCTTTTTCAGATGCTAAAAGTAGTATCAGTTCAGACTTGAGTGAGCTCATCAGCTCAAGAAAATAAAAAAAAGGTGAGTAGCCCATAATGTAAATCCTGGTTTATAGCCCTAAACAACATGCATGTAACTAACAACAGAGAGTCACACAGGACAGAGTGAAGCCCATCTTACTCGCCTAGCAGACCAAAAAAGATTTATATGGAAGAGAAGCGGTACCTTTCAAGCCATCTCACTTCTTAACCAACTCAAGGCAGATTCTGGATCCTCATCACAAGCACTCACAAAAATCTCTCTGTTCTCTGCATTCTTGAAGACGGTATATGCTTTGACCTTTTCTGCCTTTCTCACATCCATCGAATTCAGAACAGATATGCACCTCTTGATTGAAAAATCATTACTTTCCTTTTCTCTTGCTAAATAAGCCTCCTTTTCTCTTGCTAAATGAGCCTCCTTTTCTCTTGCTAACTGAGCCTCCTTTTCTCTTGCTAAATGAGCCTCCTTTTCTCTTGCTAATTGTGCAGCCTCATCTTCAGTTTGTTTGGTCCTCATATCAAGGTACCTTTCCATAAGTCCTTCTACACCAACACTCTTCTTTTGCCTCTTGGGTTCTTTTTCTTCTTTGTTTCTTGGTACAGCAACAACCCTTCTATGCGGCATCTCTTTAAGCCTTTCAGCATTTGCATTATCATCTTCAGTTGCATCTGCATCATCTTGTACTTGATAAGTCAAGGTGTCCTCATAATCTGGAAATATAATCTCAGTGTTACCAAGATCATCTTGATCACTCTCAACTTGAGTAATGATTGGATGTTGCAATGGCTCAGTTGAGGTGAAATTGTAGGTTCCTTCTGCAGTATGTCCTACACAAGAAAATTGAGTACAAGAAAGGGTAAGCAAGAAAGCATGATTATAACTTGTGATATTGAAAACAAGGATTATAGCTTGTGATAGAACTAACCATCGTAAAGTTCTCCCAAGGCCTCAAATAGAGGGAAAGATTTGGTGCGAAACTTCTTGGCTTTAGGAAATGACTACACAATAAAAGGAAAACACTAAAAAGATGCATAATGTAATTAACTACAAAATTAAGTAATGGTCAGAAATAATCTTACGATGATTATATTGTTCCATATAGCAGGCTCAGCCTCAATGATGCATCTCTGGTTATTCCATGAAGCTCCACTTTGTTTTCTAGCCTCTTTCAGCATCCTATATTCTCTTTTTAGCTCTTTCTCCTTTTCTTGGATTTGGGACTTTGTTAAGCAGACATATCTGTCCTTCTCATGGAATTCCTTCACGATTTTGTTCCAAGCTTCTGAAGTCCATCCATTCTGACCCCTATACTCAGGAGTGTTGTGCTCATGCAATAACTCAACAAGAATCTTCTCTAGGGCTGGGTTCCAAGAGGCTCTTGTTTTTTCTACACAAGATAAGAATTGATGTATAATCTACATTTAATAATTTCAAACATGAATTTCACATGTTCTATAATTGCATACCTATTGGAGAACCTCCATGCTTTTTTGTAGGACGACCTTTCGGAGAGTTCTTCTTTTGTGCAGCTTTCGCTAAAAGCATGGTCAACCTTGGAGAACCTCTTCCAAGCATATTAACTGAGAAAGGATGCATAACACAATATTCATAACAAAAGCATTGTAGCAAATGTATGTCACATGCAACCACCATAGTTCATTTATAACATAATATTTGTAATATGTCGTAGTTATTACAGCTCACAAAACATAAAAAAAAAATCAAATATACTACTTATTACAACCCACTAATTCCTATGCTGTCGATAGTCATTCCACATTTGATGTGCTATCGTGTCCCTCAAAAGATTCCCTTGATTAGTGCTTTGATCATTGCCTTCATCACCATCTGGCAGGTCAACATAATTGCTTGGATGGATATTATGTGGTTGGTTATTTAACCATTGCTCATCCCCATTCAGTGATCGAATAATATTATGGAACACTGCAGCAGCCACTGGTATCTTCACTTGGTTCTTGATTTTGTGGAAAGTTGCAACTTTGAGAATAGAGAAGCGCTTTTTTACAACCCCCAAAGTCCTTTCAACATGATTCCTCAATACCGCATGGCGATGGTTAAATAACTCTTTGTAGTTTTGAGGTCTACGCCGACCTGCCCCATACTCCTTTAGATGATACCTGACTTTACGATATGGTGCAAGGAAAGAATTGGTGTTGGCATATCCACCATCAACCAAATAGAACTTTCCAGGGGGTACTTGGAAGCCTTTGTTTACTGCAGAGGTAAGAACCCTGGCATCTGTAGCCGACCCCTCCCACCCAGTAGACATGAAAGTAATCTTCAGATCAAAATCACAAGCTATCATCACATTTTGGCTAAGAGTATTTTTCCTATTTCTAAATGGAGCTGCTTTGTCAGATGATATAGATATGGGTATATGGGTGCCGTCAATTGCACCAAGGCAATTCTGCAGCAAAAAAAAACCACATATGATTTTCTAAAAATGTAAAACAACATATTAATAAGGATATAAGTGTTTAGGTAAGAACCTTGAAATAGGGATAAAATCTAGGATCTTTTTCTATTTTCCAATGAACTTCATTAGGATTTGGAGGCTTCAGAAACCGCTTCGAGAGCGAAGGGACAACTGAGTTGAAGAAATGCTTTACGTGACGATGAAAGCTATCCCCACTGTGCCCAAATTTCTCTTGCAAATCCTCAAATGAAGCATTGTGACTAAGCATGTATAAGAAGAATGCCAACTTCTCTTCAACTTTAATCCTAGTATCATCGACCAACTTTTCAGTTCTAAGGTAATTGGCCAAAGATATAAATATTTCCGGCTCCATCCTGAATGCTACCCGGCAATTTTTTACATGCCCTTCAAGCAACTCCCGAACACGCTCCTCGCCTGTTATCTTTGATGTATGGCGTCGCTTCTTTTCCCTTGCTCCACTAGAACTCAACAAATGTAGTGCAGGGAAAATAAACAACATCATATCATCGTCCTCCTCTTCCCTCCTCTTTCTAGCGCGGTCTCTTGCTCTCATATCCATAGTAGTACTATAGATAGAGCACAAATTATTTACAATTTTGCACTTAGCACAGCAACAAAAGATCTAGAAAGATAATCACAAAAGAATCACTAAACTATGGGAATTAATCTTAAGAAGTCCAAGTTATGAAGCATATTTAAAAATTGATGGGAAAAATGAAAAGAACAATAAGGATCTTTTTTTCTTAAAGAGTGCACAGTGCAACAATAATTGAAGGAGGAGGTTGGTCTTCTCCAACTCTAATGGGTGCACGTGCAATCTACAAAACAAGCACAACTTATACACATCACTGACAACTCAAATTCAGAACTAGAACTAGAGTTACATAAAACCCAGAACTAGTGCTAGCTAGCATCAAAGTAGGAGCTGCTGTTTTTCAATCAAATAGAAGGATCTCATCATCAAATACATTATAACATGGGTACAGAATTAATCACCCAATCAGCTCATTTAACACTAGACATATTAGTGCTTGAATAGCTATGATAAACATGTTTTATACAAGTATCATGTTGAGGAAAACAAATATGTTAGTCTAATGAGACTAAAAGCTACTGTTGTTAGTTTAAAATAAATCAGTTTAAGTATACATTACTGTATATACTGCAGCAATTTGTTGCTAGTTTGTTTGTGAAACAATGACGATAGAATTAGTTTACAATTCAGAAATGTTAAACTAATTACAGAGTACCTCCATAGCTCTACAATCCTCAAAATCAGGACACCCAACCCTTGTAATTTCCAAACAGAAATATAACCAACAACCACAAGTTGGGACTCCGGAAGCACCAAGAACTGAGTACTTCACTGTAAAAACTTGTATAGTCAATTTTACAAGACATGCTCAGGCAAGCATCACAGCATCAGTCACACTAAGCAAAACTAATCAAGGCAAGCATGTTTCCATAGCCACCGTACAGCTCTCGCTCTCACCATCTGCTGCCTCAAAGCCACCGTGAATCAAGAACTCAAATCAAGAACCAGAGTTGGGCGGTGCGGTGGCGGCGGCAAATCAAGAACTCATCCCCACCCAACCAAGAAAAAAAGCTCCACGCCCAAATCAAGAACTCACCAGATCGAGCAGGATACGAGGAGGAGGACGACGAATCGCTAAGCGCTCACTCACCAGAAAGCTACACGGCGAGAAGAGAGATGGCGGCGACGACAGGAAAGGGAGAAGAGAAGAAAACCCTAACCCTAGCTTTGCAAGAGGAGGGAAGAAGGGGAAAGGCAGCGTGCTCACTGGAGACAAGGTGGCGGCCGGAGGAGAGAGCCGTGTCGTCGCCGTCGCCGTCGCCGTCGCCTCCGGGTCGCACCGCGCGCTGCCCCCTCCGTCACGTCTTCGTTGCGCCGCCGCCTCCACTCGAGGAAATTTTCCACGCTCCAGGAGTAGATGATTTTTTCCCGGGCCTAGAGAAGAGGGAAACCCCGTGGTGGGCCGGGCTAAAATTCACGGCAGGGCTTAACCGAACGCACAATTTCGCATGGGCCGGGATTTTTTCCTCGCCGGGGTGATCCATGGGGATTGGGCCCCGATCCCGGCCGGGAACAACCCAACCGAACAAGGCCTGAAGCCGCCAATCAACCACGCGATGTTGTCTACATGGTTGCCCAGGGCAGCAATACCACCATGCTTAAGGATGCGGTTAAGGAGGTCACGGGTTATTTTGTTGGTTTGACAGTGTACATTCCGGAGGAAGGAAGAAGAGGAGCCCAAAGGGCAATGTCCGAAATAGTATTTCAACATAAAAACGCTGGTTGAGAGTGATATTTTATCGAATCTTTTTTACAGTGTGGTATTTAAACAAAGCCTAGCTAGCATAACCCAATATTCCTCATTGTACAGACATTTCAGTTTATCCACAAGAGCATCAATATTAGCAAAAGCAAATGCTATAAAAATACGCATCATCACAAATCTTAGGCCCTATTTGATTCAGCTTAGGATTATTATAATCTAGATTATTAGTAGTAAGCTGAAACAAACAGATAGATTAGCATGATAGATTATTATAATCTGTAAGCCAGATTATCATAATCTAATAAGCTCCTCTAAAGGAGCTTTTTTCAGATTATTGGGTGGCTAAAGACCCACTACCCCTGGATACTTGATAAAAATTACCCACCCATACCATCAACCGAACAAACAGATAGGCCTCTCCTCTCTCTTGGCGAGCGCGCGAACTCGGCTCCTCCTCTCCCAGTCTTGCGCGCATCCGGCCTCCTAATCTCCCGGTCGCGCCGCCTTTCCCAATCTGCGGCGTCGCCTCCTCCCCTGGTCATGCACTCATGCGTGTGTGAGCAACCTCCTCCACCCCCTGCCGCGCCGCCGCGTTCCCCACTGCGGTGCCCCGTCTCGCGAGCAACCTCCTCCACCCTCGACCGCACCACCGCGTTCCCCACTAAGGCACCTCGTCTTCTTCCCCGAACCGCGCCGCCGCCGTTTAGGCATCCAAAAAGGCCAAGGGCATTATAGACTTTAGCCTTTCAAACCCAATAATCCGTGCCTCCAATAATCCAGATAAACAAATAACTCACAGCTTATTTTATGTTAACTTATTATAATTCAGCTTATAGTAATCTGGCTTAATAATCTAAATTATAATAATCCTAAACTGAAACAAACATGACCTTATTTAAGTACTCCAAGACGCTTGTTGATCCTAGAAGCTCATCTGCCAGATCTCTTCATCCTAATCTCGATTCCCAGCACAATAAGACCTCTCATCCGGTTAGGTCCTTCACTCATCAATCTCATGTACACCGCTCCATCCTCACCATCCTCGTTGAAGAACTCACCCAGCTCCACCTCCATCCAGCCGTCAGCTCTTCTCTCAGGGTACCTTCCTGTGAAGGCAACCTCGCGTCTCGATTCATTCTCTCCGATGCTGACCGTCGCATCGTGTGGTGAAGTGTCCAGCTCGTACAACCCATCGGCTATCTTGAACACCATGAACGCAGCGTAAGTCGAGTTTGGGGTCAGCACCATGCTGTCTATCTTGCTACGGATTTCCATCCGGGGAGGAGCATCCATGAATTCAACGGCTTCTGCGAACCTGTCGTGAACAAAGGGGTTTGAAACTTGTAAGGAAATCATGAGAAATCGAAAGTAACCATCACTTGAACCATCGAATTATCAATTATGCAATTGCCGATTGGAGAATTATGATGAACGTAAAGGCACTGGACAACACGATAACCAGTCGTGTGATCCTAAGAAACGGACCTCGAGTCGGCGAGGGGGATCCAGCGCCGGTAATCCGACGTCTCGCTGCACTTAATTACCAACGTTCTGGCCGAGAGTACATAGCACTTGGCCCCGGTCTCCCTGTCGAACCAGATGCCCTGTGAATGAGAGAGCAGCAGTTTTGAACACGAGAAGAGATCATCAAGGAAGCAGTGCTCTTAGTCTTAAGTAATCAGTAATTAGTTTAGTACGCACCCTGAGCCTGTCTGGCAGGAGGGGGACATTTCCATCGGAGCCGGAGAGGCGGAGGAAGAGCGCCTTGTTGGAAGGCGGCGGCGGGGAGAGCTCACCGTCGGCGAGGTCAGGGACATCCCGCGGCAGGAAGCGGGACCAGACGTCGTCGGAGTCGGCGGCGGCGCGGAAGGCCGGGGAGACGGCGGAGGCGCGGCAGGCGTCGCGCGGGCGCGGCGCCGCGCGGGAGATCACCGCGGAGAGGAGCTCCACCGGCAGGCGCGCGATCTCGCAGCACGACGGCCCCATTGGCAATTCGGCAAATGACAAGGAGACAAGAAAAAATACAGCTGGGGAATGTGAGAATAATACCACCGGTGAGCATGCCGGAAGGTCGGTCGAGTTCCACTTCCGCCCATGGTTTTGCAGTCCAACATGTTGTAGTATATGTGTAGAGCCGTAGACTAGTAGTAGAAAATTCGAAGCAGAAGTCACTCCTCACTTGACAAATCAAGCAAGTGGCAGTATCTGATCACACATCTCTGTTCTTTTTCACTTGGTTATTACTCGGACATAGTTCAAAATTGCTACTCCGTCAAGATATCTTAGGCCTAATCTCGATGCCCTGAATAACAAGGCCTCCATTGGACAGCCATCTGCCTGCCTTGGGCTTCACGAGGCTGAAGCATACCTCACCCTGGTTGTTACCCTCTTGGTTGTAGAACTCACCCAGCTCCAGCTCCATCCAACCATCAGCCCTTTCCTGAGGGAGAATCACACTCCCATCCTGAGGCACCTCAATCTCGCCTTCGTAGTAGTAGTCATTGCGGTTGGAGCTGTCCAAGCAAACTTGGCGAGTGGATTGGCGTCCCCCGACGCCGACGGTTGCAACCCACACAGAAGCCAACCCACATGAATCTTCAGCTACCACGAACACAATGTAAGCAGCATAATTTGAGTTTCCGGAGAGCATCTTGCAAGGTATCTTGCCGCAGACCTCCACACGGTATCCTTTTAAGAACTCAACAACTTCTGAGAACCTGGAGTAAACACGTGGTTAATACTATTTGTAAGTTGTAACAAATCATTAGAATTGAATACATACAAGTAGGAAAAAAATAGGACACGGGAAGTCAGGAACAAATTTCCATGGAACTTTCGAGTCACCAAGCTTTTGTACACAGTTTTGCCTTAGCTCCATACCGTGGGGGCAAGAGATATACATATATTTTTATTTTTAAGACTAGCAACAGATATAACTCTTTTTTCAATATTGACAAGAGATATATAGTTCAAGAACTCCATTGGGATCAACAAGATACAAGAAAGCTATTTTTTCGGTACTTCTTGTTACTCTGTTTACAAAATCAGAGTTGGTCTTTGCTCTTCAGAAAAAAAGAAATAAAGAAACGCTCAATTAAAATCCTAGGAGCCATCAGAGGAGCAGCTACTGTATAGCAGAATATCACTTTCCAAACAAAAACAACTTGAAGTTTGGTCTTAGCCTTTCGATATAATCAGAATCTCTTCAATAAAGTTTGTGTATGTACGGAAATATCACGTGTAATTTCTCTTAACAAGTTCTTATGCATATTTTTGAAAACAACAACAACTGTGATTTCACATTTCTATTCTGAAAGCAATTTCATCTATCATCACAACACATACTCCACCAAAGTTACAATATGGCAATTTCATGTACCACAGAAAGCACAAGAGTATAAATGCTTTGCAAATTTTGCGAAATGGAAAACTTCGCAGAGGAAAGGAAGGGGCATATAGTTCAACAACCTGGAGCTGCCGGTGAGAGAGATCCAGCGCCAGCTATGCGTTAAGTTCACAATCTGCAGCGCCCTGGCCGACAGCATGTAGCACTTAAAACCAGTCTCCCTGTCCAACCACATACTCTGTGTACAGAAGCACACATCACCTTATTAGACCGATCGATCAAGAAACATACAAAAAAGGCATGCAAAGAAGCATTTTTCATTTGGGGAGCTAGGGCCGTACTGTGAGCCCGTCTGAGAGGAAAATCTCCTCCATGCACGATTGCAACGTTGTCAATGTTGAGCAGGAGGGTTTCTCATGGGAGCAAGCAAGAGAGTTCAGGGGTGGACTTTTCTTAGGTCTAATCTCAATACCCTGCACAACAAGGCCACTCTTCCAGTGGCCTCCTTTTGTCTCCATGAAACTGATGCACACCTCACCATCGTCACCTTCCTCATTATACAACTCACCCAGCTTCAGCTCCATCCAACCGTCAGCCCTTTTCTGAGGGTTCTCTATATCCTCTGCAAGAACAACTGCACGTGGTTCTATTCTCTTGAGCCTTCATTGAACGACACTAACTTGGCGGGCTGTTATGCTTCCTCCGATGCTGACAGATGCCTCCTGGAATGGGAAATCCAGCCCATAGGATCTATCAGCTATCTTGTAGACAAGGTATGCAGCATAATTTGTGTTTTGTGACAGCTTCTTGCCCGGTAACTTGCCACGGATTTCCAACCAGCAAACAGATAAGAGCTCAGCACCTTCTTTGAACCTTTTGCATAATTATTCATGACAAAGTAAGAGATGAGTTAATACAAACAATTAAGCCATACAGAACCAACTTCAAATTCCATAACTCTTGCCATCAAACAAGATTCTATGAACTGCTTCAGTGTAGCATAATAATGGCATTTAGGCATGAAACATGTAGCTTATCGAACTCAATTTGTTGTATGAACAAACTGATTTATGTTCCATGTGTAGCTTGGATGTGTTCTATGTACTGATCCCTCCTCACTTCTTCATCAATAGAATGATATGCAGTTCTCCTGCATATTCTCTAAAATATCGCGCCGCAAGAGCAACATTATTTAGGTGAAGTGACATCGATCTATATGTTTAATTTATGCATCCTACGTGCTCAAGTTGCAAGTAAAGGGGGGGGGGGGGGGGTGCACATGTGTATAAACTCTGATTTCCAAATAAAAAGGACTTGACCATTGGATTCGATCTGGTGATACAACCAAAGCTGCTAGGAAATTTGTTTATGCTTGTTCTGTAATATAGTATGACAAAGCTTTCAGCTAAAAAAATAAAGCACGCAAGCTGCAACAATTAGCGATTGATCACAATTTGACGAGCCATCCATCCAATTCTACTGAACAGAGTACATGACAAAATAGCAACATAAGTGAAAAAAGGAGGCAGAGAAATGTGGTTGAGCACGAACCTTGAATCGGCGAGAGGGATCCAGCTCCAGTACTGCGGCGAATCGCCCCACGAAATTTGCAGCGCCCTGGCCGAGAGCATGTAGCACTTGGCGCCCTTCTCCCTGTCCAACCACATGCTCTGCACGCAGCACAATCATCTGATGAGCCAGCAGATCGGCACTACGCATACGCAATCGGAGAAGAAAAGTGAGGAGCACATTTCCGGGGGGGGGCGCGCGCGGGACATTGCAGGAACGCACCATGAGTTTGCGTGGGAGGAGAAGGGGTCCAGCGGAGAGGCGGAGGAAGTGCGCCTTCCTGGACGGCGGCGGCGGCGGCGAGCGGGGGAGCTCGCGTCTGGCGAGGCGCGGGAGGCCGCGGGGAAGGAAGCGGGACCAGACGGCGTCGGAGTCGGCGGCGGCGCGGGACGCGTCCCGTGGGCCGGTGAGGGAGAGCACCTCGACGAGGAGCTCCTCCGGCAGGCGCGCGATCTCGCACGCTGCGGCCTCCTCCTCCTCCATCGCCATGGATGACGACTCCTCGACCTCGATCGATGCGTGGTTTCGTGGTGGGAATTCGAATTTTGGATTGGATTTACGGGAGGGAGTTGGTCGAGGAAGCGTTGGTCAGGGGGACTGACGTGTGGGACCAGGAGAATACGCGTGGGCCGGTGTCCTGCTTGTCCGGAGAAAAATGGCCCAGTTACTTTACGTGTCTGGGCCTTGCTTGGCCCAGTCATAAACTGCGGAGTACACACTGCCACATACATATACTTGGAAAAAAAAGGTCGAGAATAATAAAGCGCTTGCTCAATAAACCAGTTATAATTCGGAATAAATAATTTTAAACTTTGATAAATGAAGTGAAGTTACATGTAATGGAACGACAAATGAACAATCACATACTAATTTTTATTCCATTATATTAAAAAAAACAATCACATACTAATCGAAATATTTACGGAATTGGTACTTCTGACACCTCTAGCCGCAACATGTCGATCGTATTTTGGTCTTATCCAAATATACGAGGGGGTATTTTTGTCTTTCCATGCGTAAAGGAAAGGAGTGAAAAAAAACAATAAAATAGGCTTAAAACTCTGACGATGGCGAAAAATACAGCAGGTGGCAATATATTTTAAGGAGCAAAATATAGTACTAGAAAATACTAACATTTTATTGAAGCCCACGATTGAGAGTGACTTTTCATCAAATTTTCTTTGTAGTTTTGCACGTCATTTGCAACAAAAGCAAATGATCACAACTCGTTTACTCCAAGACGCTCGTTGATCCTAGAAGGAGCATCGGCCAGATTTCTTAAACCTAATTTCAATGCGCTGCATAACAATGCCTCTCTTCCAATTAGGTTCTTTACTCATCAATTTCATGTCCACCGTCTGTATGAGATAGTGGCGAGCCAATGGCTAGATCTAGGGCAGCGCATCCACACCCCGGGATCTGCCGGCCCATCGCCGCACAGAGTCATGTTGAGGCAACTCCATCATCACTTGATGCCGACTAGAGAGGACAACATGGTTTCCTGGCACCGAGAGAGGAGGGTAGGAGAGGATGTTGACAACGGAGAGAGAAGGTCAGAGGAGGCCGAGACCCACTGGCAGTTGGCGTAAGAAATTAATGAAGAGGGGAGGTGGTAATCACGTCGTCAGTATCACGTAGGATCCCTAATGTCTTGTGACAATGTTGTATTGGGATGATATTTTAGTAAGTTTCGGTTCTGAATCAGCATAAATGTTGAAAGTTTATAGGGACATAAATGACATAGCATAATAAGTGTAGAGACCGTTAATGCAATTTACTCAACATTTAAAATGGCAATATATAGCTGTCTCTAGTTGCATCTTCCAAACCAGATGTAGACAATCGTCCAGCACTGAACCAAGATGTCGGCTACAGAAGTTCAGTTTGTCCCCAGCAATTGAGAAAAAGGTCCGTCAGATTACCCACAAGAAGAGGAAACACCCTCTAGTTTTGCCCATCACTAGCAGCAGCAAAAGCAAATGCCACTAAAACACCAAAGCTTCAGGCATCGGAAATCTTATACATTTCAGTACTCCCAAGACGCATCTTTGATCCTAGAAGCTCGATCATCTGCCAGATTTCTTAATTCTAATCTCAATGCCCAGCACAATAAGACCTTTCTTCCAATTGGGTCCTTTACCAAAGATTCTGATGTTCACGTTTCCATCTTCACCTTCCTCGTTGAAGAACTCGCCTAGCTCCACCTCCATCCAGCCGTCAGCTCTTGTCCGAGGGAACAGTACTGCACTGATCTCTTCTTCAGGACGACGACGGGATCGAGTGAGAGCAACCTCGCGACTTGATTTCGAGCCTCCGAGGTTGACTGTTGCATCTATAGTATCCAGCTGGTAGAACTCCTCAGCTATCTTGAACACCAAAACTGCAGCATAAGTTGAGTTCGGGGAGAGCATCCTGCTGTCTATATTGCCAAGGATTTCCAACCAGCATACACTCAAGAGCTCAGCAGCTTCTGTGAATCTGTCGTGAACAAGGGATTATTGTAGTAACAAATTAATTAAATATGCCTTGCAGAGGATAATTAACTAGCAAACAAATACTGGTACTAGTAGAACTAAAATTCGTATAAAAGTGCCATTGCACTTGCAAGTTGCAAACAATATGAAGTATGAAGCGGGAAGGTATCCCATACACATAAAAACTTTTTGATGCACACTATGTACACATCAACTAACGAATGTTATTGAATTTTTTTAAAAAAGTTACACATCTACTTTAAATAGTATCACACACCTATACGTGAAGTCTTTAAACTTTTAATTAATTATATTTTTAGCCATAGAAAAAAAAGCTAACAAACTTTAATTTATAAACAAGTGTAATACTATTTAGGAATATATGTATATTTTTTTTATTTTAGTATATACTGGTAGTATATTATACCGTAAAAGTTCTCTTTTTTTTAAGTGCTGCGAACTAATTAAATGCGTACTGTTGTGTGCATATGCAATCTTCAATCGGAGGTTGATGGAAGGTAAAGTTACATCACATCACATCAAAGGCATTGGCCACAACACAACACAAGAATTCGTTGGACCTGGAGTCGGTGAGAGGGATCCAGCGCCAGTATCTTGGTGTACAGGTCCAGATAATGACCAGCGCTCTAGCCGAGAGCACATAGCACTTGGCCCCGGTCTCCCTGTCCAATCACATGCCCTGCGCCAAAACACCATACAGTATTATACTCCCTCCGTTTCGAAATATTTGACACCGTTGACTTTTTAGCACATGTTTGATCATTCGTCTTATTAAAAAACTTTTATGAAATATGTAAAATTATATACCTACATAAAAATATATTTAACAATAAATCAAATGATAGGAAAAGAATTAATAATTACTTAAATTTTTTGAATAAGACGAGCGGTCAAACATGTGATAAAAAGTCAACGGCGCCAAACATTTCGAAACGGAGGGAGTACTTCCTTCGTTTAAGAAAAAAAACAAACCTCGTACTACATACTCTACGATCCGTTTGATTTTTCTCTTAATTCAAGTTCTTCATGTTTGAGTAAATTTATAAAAAGATAATAATATTTACAATAACAAATTAGTTTCATTAAATTTAACATCGAATATATATTTTTATGTTGTATTAAAAATGTTAGTATGTTTTATATAAATTTAGTTAAATATAAAGAAGTTTAATTAAAAAAAATCAAGCAACTGATGATATGAAACGGAAACGGAAGTAGTATAATTATTAGCCGGCGAATCGAGAGCGGTGCAGTTTTGAAGACAAATTAAGCAGCTTATTAAATCAATTACCTTGAGCCTGTCTGGCAGGAGGTGGTAGTGGCCGGCGGAGAGGCGGAGGAAGAGGTCCTTCTTGGAAGGCGGCGCGGGGGAGAGCTCGCCGTCGGCGAGATCGGGGAGATCACGCGGCAGGAAGCTAGCCCAGACGGCGTCGGAGTCGGCGGCGGCGCGGAAGGCCCGGGAGACGGCGGCGGCGCGGAAGGCGTCCCGCGGCGCGGTGAGGGAGATCGCGGCGGAGAGGAGCTCCTCCGGCAACCGCGCGATCTCGCACTCGCAGTCGTCGCAGGCCTCCCCCTCTTCCATCGATGGCGATGCCTCCGCCCCCTTGCTCGAATCCGGCTTCTTTGTGAAGGGGAAAAAGCACAAGAAATTCATATCGGTGGCGACTGACGAGTGTAGTTGATTGAGAGCTTAGCTTGGAGCATTTCTTATACGACGCAGGAAACTTAACCACGAAGGCTTACGTACGTACTCCTACCTCTTTTTCAGGACTGACGAGAATCTCCAACCCTTTTCCTTCACGTGGCGCCCACATGTTATATGATAATATATCTGGAGTCTGGAAACCCGACTAAACGGTAGGAGTATGTTCACATCCTTCTCCCTCCTTTACCACACGGTTTTTCAAACTACTAAACAATATATTTTTTTAAAACGTTTCTATACGAAAGTTGCTTAAAAAATTAAATTAATCCATTTTTGAAAAAATAAAATTAGCTAATACTTAATTAATCACGCGGTAATGGACCGCTCCGTTTTTCATGTAGGAGGGATTAGCTCTCATCCGTGGAATCCGAACATAGCCTAACACCCTGTGTAGCCTGTGAAAAGAAAATTTTTGGATGTCACATCGGATGTTTGACCGGATATCAGAAGGGGTTTTCGGATATGAATGAAAAAACTAATTTCATAACTCGCCTGGAAACCGCGAGACGAATCTTTTGAGCCTAATTAACCCGTCATTAGCACATGTGGGTAGTGTAGCACTTGTGGCTAATCATTGACTAATTAGGCTCAAAAGATTCGTCTCGCGATTTCCATGCAAACTGTGTAATTAATTTTTTTATTTATATTTAATACTCCATGCATGTGTCCAAAGATTCGATGTGATGTTTTTTGGAAAAAAAAATTGGGAACTAAACCAGGCCTAAACCCAAACTCCTGCTCTCCCCGCCGCCTCCGAGGCCGCGCGCCGCTGAGGTCTCGGTCTCTGATTCTGAATCATCGTGCCTCGCTTCCGTCCTTGAGTCCGACCTCGCCTGCCCGAACCACCGCCTTCCTCTTCCTCATTCGAATGGCTTCGGCCCTTTGTCCCCGGCTAGCTTCACCACAACGGCACAGTGGGACGACACGGGGGCGCGGCTTGGGGGGCCGGAGCAGCGACGGTAGTAAAAGGGCGGGAGCTGGAGCGGCAGCGGCGGTCGGGAGCTGGAGGGTCGGCGACGAAGCTGGTTGCCACTGCTCTGGCCCTCGCCCCTCCGCCACCACCGCTGCTCTAGATCCCGCTCCGAAGTGGAGAGGAAGAGATAGGAGAGAGAGGGAGAAAAAAGAAAGACAGAGGGGATGACATGTGGGCACCATATTTTTTTTTTTGTGAATGATGAATGGGGCTCACATATATGTTTTTAATTCTAATGTTACCTAAGCGCCACATCAACCAGACTAGGTCAACACTGCCACAGTAGCGAAACGCCCTCCAAAACCGCCAAGAGAGTCAATTGCACCGATTTTAATAGTTGGTGATCGAGATATTTGATATTGCAGTTCAAGGATACGAATCAGATTCGGTTGCTAGGTTAGGGAGTCAAAGTGAACTTATTCCACAAAAATATAGTAGGCACAAGTTTACTTTAGGTCCCTCAAGTTTTCGTCGAGTTTAAACTCGTCTTTGAACCGCAATACCAGATATAAATTGTCTCTCAACTTACAAAACCAAATTACCATATGTCCTAGAGTAGTATAGCGATTGGTTTTGTCCGATGTAGCTACTTGACTGGAGGCAATGACGTTGAGTCAGCATTGGACCCACGAGGCTCTACATGTCAATGACCATTATGGCATTCTCTCTCTCTCTCTCTTCCCATCTCACGGTTTAGGGCGGTGAGGAGGATGGCGGACGATGGTGAGGAGAAAACTAGCAGCAGGTGCTGAGGAGGACGACAGTGGACGGTGAGGAGGATGGCTACTGACGGGGAGAAGCTACCTTGGCCATTCCATACCGCAACCCACGTTTACTGGTGCACAGTAGCGACTAGCGACGAGCCAACGACGTGGAGGAGGGCGTTAGCATCGACGGAGGAGGGAAAGGAGGAGGAGGGATGGGGATTCCGCCGAGGCCGTCGACGCCCCAAATCCAGCAGCGACGTGGTTATCCTCGAGGGCGAGGATGTGGTCTAGCCATGAGTGGCTCCTCAACCAGTCGACACCGGTAGGGTTGAGAAGAGAAAGTAGAGGAGGAGGTGTGAAGTGCGATGGATGCGGCGTCACCGAAGAGGGCGCGGATGTAGCAAAAGAAGTCACCAAAGTCAGCAATGAAGCCCCTCCTCGCGCAGTCCTTCGGCTTGTTGTCCTCCTCTCTGTACGACCCCGACCACACGAACTCCGCCTCCACCGCCCACATCTCCACCTCCTCCCGCCACAAATCCATCCATCCACCGCCACGGCTGCCCTTTTTCTTGCCAACCCCAGAATGGCAGCGCCGCCCCTATCCACTCAGCCCATGGTCTGCCTCCTGCCACCTGACATGACCTCCTCCCTCTAGCCCTTCCTTCCGTCGTTCTGCGCCTGCTGCCTTCTAGCTAGGGAAGAGTAGATGAGGGGAAGAGAGTTGGCTACTGACATTGGGGCCCGTGTATATCCCACACTGACTCAGGATAGTTGACCAAAGTCGAAGCGTCACGTCAGACAAAAACAGGAGCCATTCTGTCTTGGACGAAAGTTAACACGGTTGAACAAGTTCAGGACGGACTATACATGGTATTGCGATTCATGGACAAATTTTAAACCCGATGATAAACTGAGAGGTCTAAAGTGAACTTATTACAATATAGTATACCAGTGTACTCCAAATGTACACTAGTACACTGCTGCAACATACTACTACTTGGGGAAAAAAATGGAAAGTAGTAAAGCGATTGCTCAAACGCCCAGTTAATTTGGAATAAATAATTTTCAACGTTTGATGAATGCAGTGCAGTTACATGTAGTGGAACAACCGATGAACAACCACACGCTAATTAAAACATACGGAATCAGGACACAGCAAAAAAACAACACTTTGTAGCCGCAATTAATCCGTCGTCCAAGACGCTCTCGTTGATCGTAAAAAGCTCTTAATCCGTCATCCAAGACGCTCGTTGATCGTAAAAAGCTCATCTGCCATGTTCTTTCAGCCTAATCTCAATGCCCAGCACAATGAGACCCCTCTTCCAATTGGGTCCTTTACTCATCAGGCTGATGCCCACCTCTCCATCTTCACCATTCTCATTGAAGAACTCGCCCAACTCCACCTCCATCCAGCCATCAGCTCTTTTCTGAGGGTACGCTGCACTCCCTTGAGGCGGACGCGGATCGATCGAAGTGAAGGCAACCTCGCGTCTTGATTCCCTCCCTCCGAGGCTCACCGTTCCCTCCTGTAGCGGGGTATCCAGCCCATAGAAACCTTCAGCTATCTTGAACACCATGAACGCAGCATAAGTTGAGTTTGGGGAGAGCATTTTGCTATCTATGTTGCAACGGATTTCCATCCAGCAAACATCTATGAGTTCAGCACCTTCTTCGAATCTGTTGTAAAGAAAGGGTTTAAACACGTAGTAACAAAGAGAGAAATCAACAAATATGTGCCGCAGCGCAGAGTAGTAGTAGCATCGCCATCCAGCATAGACCATCACGTACTAGTTGCAGAGCATCATATATGTGCCAATTAAAGGTCATTGTTAAACAAACTATAAACCAGCTATAAACATGTGAAAAAAAATAAAGAGAAAAGAGAAATAGGCTACAGATTTATAGCCAAACTATAGCACGGACTATATGGGTATAAAAGGTAAGATCAGATATTAATGGTGTAGTATAAAATTGTAATGTAACTATTATATGGATTGATTATTAGATTAACAATAAATGATTTGTAGCTATTAATTGACTATACTATTAAACATGTTCTCATGTACATATAGTCACTGGACAACACAACTACACTGCATGTTCCCTCCGTTCTATTTTAAGCGTGGCTATGAGGTTCCGTGTCCAACTTTGACGTTTGTCTTATTTGAAATATTTTTATAGTTATTAGATGATAAAATATTTTATGTTATCAAACAATTAAAGTTAGATATGAAAACTAATGGATGCATTTGAAATGGGATGAATGGAGTAGGGAAGGAACAGCATTACCTTGAGGAGTCGGCGAGAGGGATCCAGCGCCAGTAGCGCGGTGTATCGCCCCAGATACACTGGTGGAGAAACCATCTTTCGTCGGTCGGCCGATTTCCACAATAGTCCCGGATGCAATAAAAACCGGGGCTAAAGATGATCTTTAGTCCCGGTTCAAAAGGGTAACGGGCATATTTGATCTTTAGTCCCGGTTTGTGTTACCAACCGGGACTAAAGATCATCTTTAGTCCCGGTTCGAATGCTGTCAGGACCTGTCAGGCCCCCCCGGGATCTTTAGTCCCGGTTGGTAACACCAACCGGGACTAAAGATCTTAACTTAAAGATCCCGGTGATCTTTAGCCCCGGTTGGTGCTACCAACCGGGACTAAAGTCCCACCCCTATATATATGTCTTCTTCCTCCTCCAGCTGCCCGAGCAAGCTTCAAAATTACTTCAAAAAAGAGGGGAGGTCATGCCAAAATTTCTATTGAATTTATTTTGGTGATTACAAACAAATCGGAGGTGCCTAAAAGGTTTGCAACTTCATCCTCCAATGTTTTTTTTTGTTATACTACATTTGCACCTATGTTTTGCACACTTTTTTTTGTCTCCAAAATTTAGTTGTAAGTTGATGAGAGAGAAAATGTGTGTGGGGAAGAAAGAATATATAGAAATTTAGTTCATTTGCTAAACAAGGTTTTATAAAATAGTTGAGAAGGAAAACTCTAGTGAAAGTTAATCTTAAATAATAGAAAACAAACTAAAATGAAAATTAAAAGAAGTAAAACACATTAAAATTAGTTTAAAACTTTACAAATAGTTTTTAAGAATTATTTGGTGTAATATTTTATGATTTTTGTATGAATAAAGATATCTTATAATTATTGTATGACTGTCATTATTGTAAGAATAATTATTTGTGTGCGGTTTTTTTGACTCATGTAGATGGATCGGCAATGGATGTACGCTGACCGGCGGTCCAAAGAGTTTATTGACGGCGTGCACTATTTTTTGAGAGTGGCCGAAGCTAACAGGCAAAGGGGTTTTATTTGTTGTCCATGCAA